ACGATTAAATAAAACAGCTTTTGGTCTGAATACAGGTGACAGTGATATCTGATCCAGAGACTCTGAGGAAAGACTATCCACTGTATGCTGCTGTAAACAGAGCCGCTAACCGTATGTATAATGGCTAGAGGCTAGGGACAATAGGACCAAACAACTTTTTCTAATCTCAAGGATCAAATGTGGCATTGAATTGCTCAAATTTATTGTCATATTTTCTTTGGAAAATGTGTTAAATTTGAATTTTAAGCCCCACCTTTCACTGCTATAGTTGCTTTCTGTCTGTAAACGGATTTTGAATTTATATAAAAAACAGAGACTGTAGCATTAAAAAAATGTATAAAATGCTTCTCTTCTAGATGAGTATGTAAAACAACATGTTTTAAATATGAGAGTTAGTACTGGAACAGGATAATTTTAAGTTTGTAAGATCATTCTCTTTTGCGATGCTTAGATTGAAATGCAAATTTAATACAGAGGTGGAAAGACATCAAGGAAGAATGATTTTCCTGGAGTACACTGGAGAAGGAGATATTGACAAGACCTTGTTTCTGGTTGGAAAGGTAAAACTCAACCTTGTTACTATATGTATAGGTCATAACCGTATTAGTAGATTGCAAAAATAAGGGATATTCCTAAAAGCAATGCAAACTTCCTGTGTATAGGGTGTGACCTATGACACCGGTGGAGCAGATATCAAGGCTGGGGGTGTTATGGCGGGGATGCACAGAGATAAATGTGGAGCCGCAGCTGTTGCTGGATTTTTCAAGGTGATTGATTGATTAAAAAGCTCCCATTTCGTACAACTGCAACTGTTTATTTTTAAACTTTGTCAAAAATAGCTTTATGAACTGAAAGCGGTACTGACATCTGCTTCATGGTTTCCTTTATGTTCTATTATGTTACAACAGATTTTAAATGAAATGAAACCCAAGGGCCTAAGAGTTGTCGGAGCAATGGCAATGGTCAGAAACAGTGTAGGTGCTAGTAAGTATCTCTATTTCATTCCACCTTTTACTGAGTATTAGTTTATATTGCACATGTTATTATTTGTAAAAGAGAAGGCAAGCAATCTTATGATTAATTGTCATTCCTTTTAGATGGCTATGTGGCGGATGAGATCATCACCTCTCGAGCGGGAGTGAGAGTCAGAGTGGGGAACACAGATGCCGAGGGGCGGATGGCCATGGCTGACGTTCTTTGCTATCTGAAGGAACAGGTATATAAATTCACATTAATAGAGATTCTTATGCTAAATTTTTATGACAGAACAATTAAATATGCAAATGACTGGAATAGTTCATTTTTTATTGTTACTGATTTTAAGGCAAGAAAGGCAGTAAATCCACAGCTATTCACCATAGCAACATTGACCGGACATGTTATCAGAGCTTATGGACCAGATTATTCAGTATGTTACATAAGTATTTAATCATCAGTATTGTAATTTGTAATTAAAGAACTTTGAATTTATCTTTTATCCCTAAAGTACCTGTATAAATTGGAGGATTGATATTTTTAGGCCATTCTTGACAATGGACCAGCGCGGATCATGAACAATGCTCAGAATATCCAGGTGGCGGGGGATACGTGGGGGGATCCTTTTGAGATCTCCACCATCAGGAGAGATGTAAGTCTGTGTTCTTTTGTAAAGGAAAGTTGTTTTGTACTCATTTCAATGAATGTCTAAACCCCTGTCAGTACTCATGCCAATGCTTTTATATAGTGATCAAAATAAGAGATGAATCACTATGACTTGGTAAATCAGTCAAAATATAAATATGTCTATTATTCAGCATTATCAGTTATAAAGAGACCAAGACAGCTTGGGCACTTACTTGCGTTCATAGTAAATTTTTTGTCTGACACCATGAATTTACTTTGTAGTTTATCAAATTTTTGTATTCTTGTTTATAAAACTTATTTCATGCTATAGGACTATGATTTCCACCGTGGTAAATCTGAATATGAGGACGTTCTACAATGTAACAACGTCCCATCATCTGGTACCCCCCGCGGTCACCAAAGCCCAGCAGCGTTCCTGATAGAGGCCTCAGGATTGGAAAAGGTTAGATTTATTTTACAGGCATTAAATAAAATTTTTGTTTGTATGAAAACAACCTGTGCATTCATTAATTTCAAAAAGAAAATTTTGAATGAAAAAACTATCAGGGGGTAATCATTGTTTGTGCGTTACTCTTTATCCATGGTTTATAACTTCAAGAAATATTGATTAAAAAGCTGCATCTTTCAAAATGAGATAATACATCAAGAAGGTGGTTTCCTACAAACCTGTAAATTTTCAAAGGTCCATGGAAATTGCCCTTGTGATCTTTAGTGTTTGCAATGTTTTAAATGCTTTCTGATAACTGTATTTAATCTTGTTTATAGCATGGTAAAGATTCTGACCAACCATTACCATATTCCCACCTGGACATCGCTGGTTCATCAGGACCCTTCCCTGGAATCCCCACAGGGGCCCCTATTGTTGCCTTGGCAGCACATTTCGTGTTCCCAAGATGCTGAACATCATTTCTCCAAATCAGGGAACAAATGACAATCTGTGTAGTGTATATTTTCTGTATAAAGTAGACGTTAAAAATTTCCTTTAATCACATCGTTCGAATGTTTGTAATCTTTAGATCAAAAGCTAGTTAGATTATAAATATCAAATCGTCGACATAAAAATAACTCATAAAATGAACAAATTAGATTTTCAAGACATAGGAAATTTCATAGTCAGAATTATCATTAATCATTGGTGCATGGAAACTTGCTTTGTTTGTTATGAACATTTATTGTGCCATATGATTTTTTACTTTCAATAAATCCGTTTCTGAGTCAACTGTGTTTATTTCACTGAATGCCTATGGAAGAACAGTAGAAGGTGTATTTCTACCATAAAGATTGTAGAAAGAAGAGGTACATGTATTTCTATTATATAGGAATCTACATGTATTTCTGTTATAGAGGAATCTAAAAAAAGGTAGAGTATTTCTATAATAGAAATTATAGGAAAGAAGGGGCATTTCTATAAGAGGTCTCTAGGAAAGGGTATTTTTCTATCATAGAGATTGTAAGAATGAAGGGGTATTTCTATTTTAGAGATTTTCAGGAAAGAAGGGGTATTTCTGTTCTAGATGTAACCAGGAAAAGAATGGTATTTTTATCATAGAGATTGTAGGAAAGATGGGACATTTTCATTGATCTATCAAACTCTATCTAAGAAAGGAGGGATATTTCTATGACAGACATTGTAGAAAAGACGAGGGTATTTCTATTAAAGAGATTGTAAGGAAGATGGGATACTTCTACCATAGGGATATGTAGGAAAAGAGGGGTATTACTAAAGGTATGTGAGAAAAGAGGGATTTTTTTCATAGAACATGGTGTGAAGAAGGGGAACTTCTATCATAAAAATTGAAGGAAAAGGATAAATTCTATAATAGAGATAGGTTTGAAAGGGGGGGGTTCTTTCATGGAGAAATAAAGAAGAAGGTGGATTTCTATCACAGATATTGAAATTTTTTTTATCATAGAGGTACATGTATGTTGGGGAGAGGATAGGCATTTCTTTCATAGATATTGTTGGAAAGTTGTATTTTTTATAGAGGTATGTGGGAAAGAAGGGATATTTCTATCTTAAAGGGGCATGGGCACAATTTCAGCTAAAATTTCAAAATCTATTTTTCTATTTTACAAATATATAACTATGGTCTTTCTAATGATGATCAAAAATTTGAATGCCAGTTGTCCAGATACAAGACAGATTTAGAGCTCCAAACCTTTGTTATGTAAACAAAGCTAGTGTCATGTTTTTGTTTACACAGGTTAATATACTAATATATGTTCGTTCAAAGTAGATAATTTAAAATAAAAGTTAATTTTAAATACGATTCGACAATTACTATTGATTTGCTGAACTTTATTTGTTATAAATATTTTCTATATGTAAACAAAAAACAAGGCACGAGCCTTGTTTACATTATGAAGAACTTTAAGTTTGTATTTTATTTGTTAATCAACAAATGATCTTCAAATTTTTGCAAATTTATTGTAAAAATATTAAGGAAAGAAGGGATTTTTCTGTTATAAAAGTATTTAGGAAAGAAGGGGGATTTCTATTATAAAAGTATTTAGGAAAGAAGGGAGATTTCTATTATAGAAATTGTTGAAAAGGAAGGGTTATTTAATCATAGAGGTTTGTTGGAAAGGCGCGTGGTTATATCATATAGGTATGCTGGAAAAGAGGGCTATTTCTTCCATGTAGGAAAGAAGGCATATTTCTAACGTAATGGTATGTGGGAGAGGAGGGACATTTCTTCACAGAGAATGTTGGAACAAAGTGAAAATTCTATTACAGATATATTAAGAAAGAAGATCCGGGTAATCCTATTTCAGAGGTATCTAGAAAAGAAAGGACGATCTTGTCCATGTAGGACTGAAGTAGTATTTCTATCCTAGCGATCGACTGAAGAAAACAAGGAGTGTCTTTATTTAAAGATTGTAGGAAAGAGATGGTATTTCCATCTTAGAGGAATATGGGAGAGGGGGGATTTCTAATGAGAGATTGAAGCAAAGAAGTTTTTCTATCATTGTTGTTTGCAGTAAAGGAGTATTGGAAAAGAGGGTTTTATAGGAATTTCTACCGTAGTATGATATGTAGTAAAAGAAAGGACATGTCTATCATAGAGGCATGTAGGAAAAGCAGGTAACTGCTATCAAGTGATTGTGGAAAAGAAGGGGTATTTCTATTATAGATATTGTGGGAAAGAATGTATATTTGAATATTTCTATTAAAAGGATATTGATATTAAGGGTACATGTATTTCTATCACAGAGATTGTAGGAAAGAAAGAGGGTATTTCAATCACAGAGATTGTTGGAAAGGAAAGGCATTTCTATCGAAGAGATAGTTGAAAAGACAAGGGTTTTCTATAATAAATGTATCTCTCTTTGCAGAGGAGTCTCTTTCTTTGAGAAGATTTACATTTCGGATGTTAAGGAGTAGGTGTTGAATGTCAGGAAAAACTATGAAAACCAAACAATTTAAATTTTATTTCAAGGATGAAGCTTTTTATAGAATTCATCAATTTATAAACTGAAAACATAATAGGTCATTTTACAATTAAAAAATAAACACATCAAGAACATACATTTATAAAAGCATGAAAGAATATCGATATATTTTATAGGATATAAAACATGTTATTACGAAAAATAAGTTAAATATGACAAATAAAGAATAGATACGAAAACACATGATTGTAGATACCTTGTACCTCAAGAAAATTCATATTCATCTCATTCTCACAAGAAAAAAGACCTTGCATACAAAAACAAGTGGCACAATTTTGCATACAACCCTAAAATATCAAGTATTATTATAAAAATGCAGAATGTGTGATGAGTTAACAATCTCATTTATTCTATGAAGTACGTCTTTACACATTCAAATCATAGAGATTTTTCGTTGGGCTTCTGACAATCATACAAGTTTACATGTAGCATACAGTGTATAAGTTTTACTTCAACATATAAAACATTACGAATTTGACATGATATAACACAAGGAGAGCTGATCAAGGAATATTCCTGTGTGGGAGTTGGGTTTGGTAGATGTCCATTTTCGAAAAACACAATTAAAACCCAAATACTCTCTAGTCAAACAAGGAAGGAAGAAACATAACTTTGAAGGTGGGCTTTCAGATGCCTTTTCTAAGGTCATAAAGGGATCAGTATTAAATTCTCCAAGAGAATGAGAGGGGGGGGGGTCTAAACTCATATTCAAACTAACTTACTGCACATAGAATACTTTGTATTACTGAAGATAGTGGGGTGTTCGCCCAAAAAACCTTAATTATTTATCATTAGATATTCTGTTAATAAGATATTAATCCTCCAAAACATTCTGCGTGTCTCTACGCTGCTGGAGTACAGACCCTGCACGCTGCCTTGCAGTAGTTGAGCATGTAAGAGGGATTTCTTACACAGTGTCCGTGGCGGGACCAGGTCAGGCAATACTTATTGGTGTTCCTGCAGTTAGGATCACCTGTCCCTGAGGAAAAAAAGTACAGACGGTAAGAAACACAGAGAAGAAACAAATATACTGAATGGTAAGGAAACGCTCCTTTTTTGTAATATGATCAAAGGACTTTTGAGGTCGAATAAAGTTTGTTTTCTCCACATATTTTATGTTAGAACCAGAAACTGTACTTCATATGAATTTAATTTAATTCAATCTAATGTGTCCTTATTCAGTGTATTGCGCAAAATTTAATTAAAAAATTTGGAAATTTTATGAAAGCAAAATTCGAAAAAAAGCAATTCAAAATTCCGAAATTGAAATGCAGCGGTATTATTTATATTGGATATGAAAAAAAAGTTCGTACATGTAAGACAAAAGTTGAAAAGGTGACTGTATATGTCAAAGCTTCATCGCATAAAGCATGTTCATATCAAAGCAATTAATGTTTTATCATTTATATTTATATGTAATATTATTATGTAACTTGGTCATTTATATAACTGTTTAAAAAAAAATTAATTATATTGTTATAAAAAAAGAGAGAATGTTTAAATTGTACATTTATGTATGTTGAAATGCCCCCCGGGGCCCTTGATTGGTAAATAAAATATCTTGTATCTTGTATAGGGGGTGTAGTTAGACAACTTACTGACTGATTTGTCCCTCAGTATGGAACACAGGCATAAATAAACTACTTACTGACTGGGTCATCCCTCTTTACGGGACACAAACCACAGGTCTGCTTACAATGCTTCTCCATCCAAGTCCTGTGAAGTCTACAGAATTTCCACTTCGTCTCAAAAGTCTGACACTTGGCATTGGAATAGTCGTTCTTACAGGTACCTGCTCTGTCTGAATTATAATAACACAGGAAAGTTAACGAATTAGCATCACAATTTGAAGACCAAGAAGATATACCCGGTAAGCCTTGTAAATTAAGTTGAAGAAGTTTAGAATCAAGACATGCCTATGTTTAATATTATTTCAGTTCTTTTTAAGGTGGATACCTGTCGTCTTTGTTATTATTGTTTTATCTACTGATTGTCCAGTTCCTGCTCTGCTGATGGTAAAAAATCGAAAGGTGTACGTCGTTTTAGGCTTTAGATTGAAGTACTCTACAACTATGCTCCGAGGCTTACCATTGGTAAATTCTGGAAAACAAAATATCTTCTTATTTTAAATTTGATTAGACTTTTTTATGCATATGTTTTACCTTGAATAAATATGAAAAAGTTGTAGATCAGTAGAAAAGTCTTTATGTTATTTTTCCATAACTGCTGTAGTTTGGTTGTTTTCAGTTTTGATCTGTTCTGAATTCATATTCAAAATTTCCACACTGATTCTTCTTAAAAGAGTAAAGCTGTTTCCCATCATACCTATAGGGTAACTTCTCTGTTTTAGGTCTCTTTGGAATGGCTTCACTTTAAGATGTGTTGGTGTTGATCCGTCCTGAGGAAACGTGACCTTGAAGTCTACAGATTCCGATGTAACTAGTCTCACTGAGACTACTGGAGCAGATGGCAGAACTACAACATATACCCACAGGTAGGGCAAAAAATAAATAACAATATATACACACACAATGGAAAACACAATTCAGCAAACAATATACGATAAAGAACACAACTTCGGCAACTCACATACGTAAAAGAAATATTACTATTTAAAATAATATAAGTATACCCAAACACTCAACTACATTATATAGGTACCAACATGTTACATAAAATAAACCTCAATAAACCCCAGAACCAATAACGTTAAAGGAAATGCATGCGAAAAGCACGTTAGAGAAAACACAAATTTATTATACCCATACATGTACATCAAAACACATCTAATACATTACAGAAAACTGGAGCAGAAAGCACCAAGGCAGATAATCTTGAAGGTGCAACAAGTACTTTTACTGTATACCGGTACCTTTTAGGAACGGTTGCAATAAACCTATGATGTATATACAGGTATAATATGACAACATAGCAGTAGGTATAACAGGTGAAGCACAAATAATTTAGAAGCATAAGTACAGAAGGCATAAATAAAAAAAATACAGTTTACAGGGAAAATTTTGCCCCCATTTTATTTTCGTCTCCTTCGCCCTACCTTATTTGGCGAATTTAAAACGGGACAAACTCAAACAATACGGTATAATTTCTTAAACAAAAGTATGACTGGGCGAATTTTAAACGGGACAGACCTATCTGCAAGTGAGAAAGGGTGAAAATAAAACGGGGCGAAAATAACCCTGTGTGCAGTACATATCTCGTACGCTTGAGTAAACACATAAAGTAAGTAAACTGTGCCACTAATCTAACACTGGCATCTCGCTAACATTTAAATACGTATATTTAAATAAAAAATGGGAAACTAGATAGCATCAATACAATTTCTTACTGTAAATTATCATTATGTTACCTGCTCTTTCTGTTGTGGTCCTTGGAGATAAAGTAGTTGTTTGATGCCTAGTTGTAATAGGAGGTCTGGTGGTAGTAACTGGTTTTCTTCTGGTGGTCATGGTAACAGTGGTTCTGGTGGTTGTGGTGGTAGGTGGAAGCGTACTTGTAATGCTTGTGGTGTTAGGAAGGAGCACGCCTGTGGTGGTTTGTGGGAGAAATGTTGGGGTAGATGGGAGTACAGTTGTGGTGTTAAGTGGGGGTTTAGTTGTAGTGGCTTTTGGGAGGAAAGTCGTTGTGGTAGGTGGAAGGGTACCTGTGGTAAAAGGTGGAAGTGTTGTAGCTGTTGGAATGATCTGAGATGTAGTTGTTGGTGGTGGACTTTGTGTGGTGGTTCTATCTTCAGGACACAGACGACATGACTTTCGACAGTTCTTTTCCATCCATTGCGGATTTGCTCCACACTCACCTTTCACTGCCCAATCGTTACATTTCCTATCTGGTTGTCTGTTTGAACACCCAGCTAAAGAAGAGACAAGGAAGATATATGAATAATCATGCCATAAAAGTCAAGAGTCAAAATCTAACGGTTAACTTTGTTCAGAGTTCATGACGTCATACTGTACTTACTCCCTGGTGGGTCTATATCATTGTCACAAACGCCACACGTCTTCTTACAGTTCTGTGCCATCCATCTTTCATTTGATACACAATCTCCTATTGCTTTCCAACCTTTACAAGTGCCCTCAGGGTATGCATCCACACACCGATCCCCGACAACTAAAAAATCGTCGAAAGTATCTGTTTATTCTCAACAAAACATGGTCTTGAAGAAATTCGAATTCTTAAGTAACTTTTATTGCTTGTATTTAGCTATGAGTGGAAAAAGGCAGGGAACAGGGGGACTTTCCTGTAAGGATAAAGAATAAACTTTTAAAATGATTCCTTGAAACGAAAGAAAAACTTTGATCTTAGAATAAGTTTAACATGATCATTCAATATATACTAGTGCATGTTTTTATGTACACATGCAAGTATACATAAATAAACTTTTTAACAAAATCTTTACCTTTGTCTGCCGCGAGGGCATCACTACAGATTCCACACGCACGCGCACAGTTTGGTTTCATATATCTGGGATTCCTTTCACATTCGCCCTGTTTCGCCCAAACATTACATGACCAGTCTTTATCCTTATTCCTACAAACTTTAAAAAGATTTTTTCTATGTAAAAGATTATTTTTTGAGTGGAACTTAGGATTTGCTGAATCAGGTTTACTCACCATAAACAAATAAAGTGAGGATAGTATCGTTTAAAAAAAATACATCTAGGCATCGTTTCATGTCTTTTTTTCTCTACAGTACAAGAATTTTTACTTACATTGGTTACCAAATTAATTAATAAAATACTTTTGAACTTACACTGAAACTGTGGTTCTTTTCCAATTTCACAGTCAGATGTTCCATCAGGGCACGAGCACCGACAGTTCTGATCTACAAATCCACCATTTCCACATCGTATATTCCTACTACAGTGTCTGTCTGTACAATGTAACACATTAATCAACATACTGAAAGTACTGACAGTTTACCAGTGCCAAAACTTTTTGACTTTGCAAAGCTACTATAGTTTGCTTAAAAGGTGTACATTGGGATGACAATATATTTATAGTAACATTTCTTTTGAAATCCATAAGCGTTAATTAAATTAAAGCTTTTTACGAATGAACAGAGGAAAGATAACTATAGCTCTTTTTTATTCAAATTTTTGCGCTCAAAATCTTTTTTTCTATTTGTTTTTTAAAATTTTGATCCGAATAAACAAAGTAAAATGAAAACATTAATTACAGATTTAGTGACTTACTACAGTAATACATGTTGTTTACAGTTGCAATATCTGTGAAGGAAAGTTCTTTAGAATATACACGCCCTATTTCTGGTTCCTGAGCTTTGTACTGGGGTTGTGCTTCTATTGTTTTTGATCGTCCATCATAAGAAAATGCCTAAGAACACGTTACTGAAGGTTAACGAACAGTTTTAACATTCGATGCGTCAGACATATGAATTCAATCCACATCTATATGTATTTGATTCCTGTTCTATATTATAAATTCTTACATTTTCCAACATCAAATTTTATAAGAATGGTGCATGAACTTACTCATTCTTACAACATAACGAGTCCTGAGACAACATTTTACCATGAGACCTCTGTTTATCTTTCATTTTTTCGGGGAGAAGCACAAAATTGACTCAGGACTCCTGACGTTGTGATGATGATATTTTAACAATGATTTTCTTATTACCTAAACTGTCTCGCCTTCACTGTTACTTTTTTAACAATGATTTTCTTATTACCTAAACTGTCTCGCCTTCACTGTTACTTACCGTAGTTCCATAATGCATGACAGAAGAGAACTCGTAAGAAATATTGAAGTTATTTATTTGGCGATTGGGGTATTTATTGAACCACTGTCGTAGACTAGGCTGTACATTGTTGTAGTTGATTTGAATAAATTGGTCTCTAATTGGTCGCTGGTGTTCATGAACCAAACCAACAGCGTGACCGATTTCATGGAGGTATAGTCCTTTCTGCAACAGTCAAAAACTACAGACGTAGTAATGGTGTGCTCTCATGCCGAACATTATATTTGATCATAGTCTACCAAAAGAAAATTACATAACCAGAAAAAGATTTTGCATTCAAAAGCACATCAAAAATTAAAACAAATTCATATTGTATTAACAATCATCTGGGGGACGAGCGTTCAGGAGTTAGATAAAATTACGATTTATTTGACAAGTAAATTGGTTACAAAAAACACGGCTTCTCTATACAATATTTCGAACCTTTCACGCTAATGCATACAACGATTTTTTTATAGGTTGTTTTCAAAACATACCATTGGTACTAGTATTTAAAGGTGCATAGACACAGATTTGAAGTTGGCATTTTCTGTAGAATATCAAGACATATATTGTAATAGCATTTCACACGAAAATACATAAAAAATCTTATTTCATCTGAATGATATTGAAACTTTAAATTTTTGGATGGGTTTGACTGACACATCCCTGCACTTTCACAAATTTTAATTTTATTCTTAATACTTAAGAAAAATGGCAGTCTTGCACCTTTAATCAACAATGATTTACATTGATCATGCGAGGTCGCTTTTTCTTAGCGTCGACTGTTGAATCTGTCGGTAAATTGGTGGTGTGTAAACTGTACACAACGTTAGTTCTTTTTCATTAACCATTAAAAGAGGGGAATTTTTTTTCTGACAACAAAGAAATCATTGCACATTGATTCAATTAAAATCAGATGGAAGGGAGGCATATGGTTTTCAGATTACACAACTTAATTTAATTTTTAACTTACATATCTGCATCCATTCCTGTCTAAATTTAATGGTTGCCCACCGCCGACCATACCTAATTGAGAGTTACACCTATAAAAAGGTAGAAAACATTGACAATTAAAATACTTTATTTGTTGAAATGTTTTAAAATGTTTGTTTTCAAGTGCCATGATGACCAACAAGGCTCTGCACTATAGATGCAGAAGAAATAGGAAATATCTTTGTCTTCTGAATGTACCGGTGTTGTAACGTTACACGAGTGAATTTTTTTTTAGATACCTGTGTATGCATGTTGTTAAATGTAAATTTTATACATACCCGAAATCGTCTTGGAAGACAACGTAGTTATATTCGTTTTGTCTCTTTTTAAATCTAAGGCACGAATATTTCTCCCATTCTCTCATCGCTACTCTTATCATGTATCTGTCTGTATTACCTATTGACCAGAAGCAACAACAAAAAATTATAGGAGAAATCTACAGCCTACAAACAATGAAACTCATAATGAAATATGAAAATGTCACATTTTACCACTTACTATATGCCCATCGTTTGAATACATAGGGTACTTCGCCATTTGGCCACCGTAGAACTCCGGATCTCACGGCCTTCCTCTTCGGTCTTTCTCTATCATTGATCCAACAAGTGAAAATTGTAAGTTTATTATTATTTTCAAGTGTAATCATGGTCAATATCTTTGTAGATAACCCTTTTTCTCCTTCCATGTCTAGCTTTTGTTTTTCTAACTTTTGAGAATGGGATGAATGGGATACAGTATCTTTTAGCTTAGCGATATATATGTCTTTTGCTGCTCACACATTTGAACGAAGAGTCTGAAGTTTATCTATGAGTATAATATTGTTCAATGGGAAAAAAAAACATGTTCCTGTTTCCTTACCTTGTTGTGAGTATACGATGATGTGTTGTTCAAATTATCTAAATATCCAGTTCCGTATTTCATACCATTGTGGTAATCATTAGATTCTTATATTATTCACTAGTGTACCTTAGTTCTTGCTTTTTCCTTATCTATAAGGTGAACATAATTTCTGAGGGGCATCTAGTTCTTTTTATGTACTTTTGCTTTGAGTAAGATTTGATCAATATTGTTCACCAACAGTACCTCCCTAGTGTGGCAAAAGTCCAACTCTTTATGGCATTGTACACCAGTGGGGAGATACATATTTAAAGATTTGGTTTAACAAACCTTTGTAATAGTATAAAATTTATATTGTTCATGCCTTCATCTATTTTTTTTTTATACCTTTGAGGTCGGCATGGAATTGTATTTACTTCACTAGTGAGGTAAATTTCTAGTTCGATCTTTTTATACGTTTGTGGTGATTATGAGTTTCTATATAGTTCACTCGTGAGGTACATCTCTAGTTTTACCTTTTCATACCTTTTTGTGAGTATAAAATTCTATATTGTTAACCAGAGGTACATGTTTATTAGCTCTGCCTTTCCGTACCTTTCTGGTGAGTATAGGATTATATATTGTTCACTTGTGAGGTACTTGTCTAATTCTATCTTTTCATACGTTTGTAGTGATTATAAGATTCTATATTGTTCACTATTGAGGTACATGTCTAGCTCTGTCTTTTCCTACCTTTGTGGTGAATATAGGATTTCATATTGTTCTCTGGTAAGGTACATGTCTAATTCTGCTAGCACTTTGGAGCCAGGAGTCACAATTTTATTGCTGATATTTACATAACCTGAATAATTAAAAAATATGCTAATCTGTTCAATTCTGAATCAATAAATTTTAGTTTCTGTCTAATATAGTTATATTTTTCACCGAAGTATTCAATTCTTTAAATTGTATTTTTATCCTGTTTAATAAAAGTAAAACATGCTTTTAAAAAAAAAAATACTAGGCTGGTTTACGGTAATATCAAAGAATATTTTTTTTTCATTTCCCGCTTAAAAGCAAATAATTTGAAATAATAATTGTAAATAATTAATCATTGAATAACCTTATAGATGATTGTCTTACAATATATATACAGGGGGTATGCTTGTAGTGGAATGAGAACTAATGTTACAGAGACAGCGAGAATAATATCAACAAGGAACACCCCTGTAGGCTTACTTCCTATCTGTAGCGGCAGGAATTACACGCTAATTGTAGCAGTTTTTTTTTAAAGTTCAATAGGTGTTTAATTACTATCTTTTAGCCTCGACACCTTCACTGATGTATGTAAAAGAATTCTGAAAATTCGACATTTTTAGGCCATTATCGTCCTTTTTTCACTGCGAACACAGCTGTTTTGTGTTCGAAAAAGTGTTCCATTTGATTAAACTTCGAACTAAAAAGCGGTCAGGAGGAGGGAGTTTATAACCTTCAGAGAAATACAATACGTAAAGAGAAAACGCAACGTACCCATTCAAACATTTTCATATTCGATGTTTACGTTTCAATGCTTTCCCACTTTAAAAACATTAGAAAAAGAAAACAGTATTAACAAAGAATTATTCTGTAAAATATGAAAAGACATTTGAAAAACAACAAATCACTTTTGACGCATTTTCAATAAAAAATGGATATTTCCATTCTTATGTCGATATGATATATTCCAATGAGCTTGAGATAAAAGATTCCACAGAGTCCGACACATCTGTTTCATATCTGGATATTTTACTTGAAAAAAAGTAAATGGTAGTCTAACAACCAAGCTTTATGATAAACGTGATGACTGTGGTGACTAACTTTTCAATCGTCAACTTTCCTTACTTTTACAGCAATATACCTTCATCACCTGTAATATACTAGGTTTATATCTCTTAGTTGATTCGACACAAGAGCATGATCTACCTATGAACAATTTCTAAAACGAGGTAAATTATTGACAAACAAGTTCAGATAAGACAAGAATATCAGCAGTCTCGTTTAAAGTCATCATTTCGTAAGTTCTATGGTACAATGACCTTGTAAAAAGAAATTATCATTGATTCAAATGCTGATTGACGTTTTTCATACTAGTTGTTAGGCCATTATTTACACATTGCATTGTCGACAGATTTTTTCGTTATTTCCCGGTCATGACAAGGAGCACACGGCTGGTGTGACCGGTTGGCGGGGGATGCTCACGTCTCCATTGCAACTGATCCAACATCTGATGTTTAGAGGACTGTGTTTGCTCTTTGTATTGTTTAATGGACTTTTCAGCTTGAATACTGTTCGTTATCTCCATATAAATACTAGTATTTCATTTTAATAAATGGTCTTTTATTTTTCATTTTAATAAATGGTCTTTTATCAAATTCCAAAAGAACTACTAAACAAACTTTAAAACTTTACTGAACGTGTACGTTTATTAAATATTATGCAAATTACATTATTGGTAAAAGATAGGAAGTGATGTCGACCTGAATTTCTTTATGTTTTTTAAAGCCATCATCATTTGCCATATGAACCCTATAGTTGTATTTGTATTACTGTCTGTCTGAAAATTGTAGATGGGGGTTCATTACATTATGTAGGTGTTCCCCGCCATCATTTTGTTGCGTTGAGCGTTGACAGTACAATACTTTTATCTTTGTATCCTGGAGGTAATGGTGCTATCAATTCTGTTACGGTTTCCTTACAACTAATCTTTTTTAAATTAACGTTCCTGTAACCTATAACCGAGTTTGACACCGCTTACTCATCATATGTCGTTTTTGTGTTTCTTTTTCATAGCTGATAAATCGTAGCATAATTTTTGTTGCTTTTTTTCAATTCCATGCTCTGGTAAAATAAAATAAGAAAATCACATCAAAGGGAAGAACGCTTTGAAACAATTCCCAATCCAGAAAATTTTAATATCAAACTCAAATCTAAGGGTAAACGTTGAACTACTCGTTTAAATAAGTCAGACTAATTTTGTGATTAAAGTTTTGGATATGGTTTATTTGAAAGAAAAAATAACACTTATTATGAGATTGATTAAATATACATCTTATTTCTAGGTACGATAATATTAAGAACTCTGGTCAAAATTAAACGTTTTCATTTTGCGTAAGAACATCACTGTAAACTATAAAGGGTTACGTACGCATATGTATGAAAATATTTTTTCAATGTTGGTAAAAAAAAAACTAAATTATAAGAGAAATTATACAAAGATGTAATGTATGATTAAAAGTGCTTTTAGTAATTGACAAGTAGTAAACGAGGATGAGTATAGATTTATTTCGTTGGTTTAAAAATCTGGCCAGTGGAAACTGTTCGTGCATTAAAATTTGATAAGCAATAAGAATTGTTAGAAAATGTTATCGACCATTAATCAATTTCAATATTTATTATCTGTTAACAACTTTTTTCACTTTAATTTCAGGGTGTATACAGGCAACTTCGCCGCATATGATCCTCATATGACAGGCCATACATTTGTGGATCATATGTGGCGAAATTGCCTATGTTCATGGGCCTACCTTCTATTCCTCCCATGGAACTCGCGATGAGTTGGTCAATGGTGGCACCTACGGGTGGCAAGTGCCTGTCTCGCTGGGCTGCAGCCTTAAGGGTGAAACTCTAGAAAAATTGACACGATTTCAAATAAAACCCAAAAAGGACAAAAATAACACAGAAATATCACAATAAGTAATACAAAACACAATTTTTGGAAACAGTACCAAAATAGAGATCACGTAGAAGATATTGGCCTTCATCGTACAATGTATAAATGACTCGGTGCAAGACATTGCTGTGTTTTATAATGTGTGAGTAAGGGGTCTGCCTGTTTCAGCGTTAGTGGTGCGGAACGAACAAAGTGTATTTCTGATCAAACTGCCATTAACAGACCTTCCCGACCCGCATGTGCGCAAAGATTCATGTTTTTACTCAATTATGATAAAAGTGCAGATATTTTTTTAATCAGTAGCTGTTACTAACTATTCTGAAGCCTAATGTGCAATCAGAATCTATAATTTGTTTACGGAATGTTGTTTATTTCCAGAAGTCCAAGGTGTGTTGTGAACTTTCTGACACTCTTTAAGTAAACCATGCCGTGACCAGAGTTTCTATCTTATCAACAATGATGATGACGCTGACGGCTCATTTCAGTTGATGCCAGATTCTTGACAAAACCGACCAAGGGGCTATCCACACATGACTCAGTGTGCTGCTGAATCATTTTGTAATGCGTCTTAATTTCATCCAAACTTAATTTGAAATGTCATTTTAAAAAGCTATTTGCAGAGACACTGACCGGGAGAAGAAAAGATCAGAACTCGTCGAAAATAAAGTTTGAACTGGTAAATAAAAACACACCAAAAGTGCCCTCTCTATTACATGTACATGTATACATGGTATATGAAACTATTAATATCTTAATATCTATACTAACACTGAGACACATACTTAAAGAAAAGACTACAGTTATAGAATTTTTTTTCATTTAATAAACAGCAATCTCAAAAATCAGAGAAGAATACGAAATAATTAAGGGTCATAAACAGAAAAAAATACAGACTCCCTGAAAACACCAGAAGTGTGATCAGGTACAAAGAAAAAGTAAGCATACTTGCCTTGTCGACAGGTCGCACCCACTCTATGTTTATTAGGTAAATAGATCACAGTTAGTTTTATAGTTTTAGATGGTTATAAATTACTATAGTTAGGAAATTACATGTATCCAAATATGATAGAGGGCACGGGAAGAGTTTTCTTCTTCTACCAGACAGACAAACAAAGGTCTATTGAAATATGTAAATAAGAAACATTCTTCAAGCTCAAAAATCTATTAAACAATACAAATCAAATGCAGAGCAAACACGGATGTCTAAAACATCAGAGGTGGGATCAGGTGCCATGGAGTAGTGAACATCCCTTGGAAACCGGTCACATATTATATGTCATTATAGTGAAAAAAACCCAGAAAAACCGTAGATAATTCAATGCATAAAAAATCTCCCAACATATTAAAAACGTCCAACTTGTTGATAGATTGTATTTGCTTACAAGGTCGTTGTATCGACCATAGAATTTGCGAAAGGATGACTTTAAACGCGACTGTTGTTATTCTTGATTCATCAACATGATTATCAATAACTTAAACTGTCGAGTTGAATTAGCGTTTATCTGAATTCCAATAGTTGTAACAGACTATATGGTCTCCAAAAACTGCTATGTATAATTACTGTCATTGAGGAAATCGTGGATCTTTTTTTAATATTAATTTTGACGACTTTATTTAGAATCGAAATAATTTTTAACTACACTGTACGTACCTAGCAATGTACATGTAGCCACAAGATGAAATATGGAGAAAACGAACAGTTACCAAGCTCAAAGATCCTCTAATACAGTACAGTTTTTGAAAAGAGAAAGCACGAATCTCTCAGAACGTTAGAGGTCGGACCCAATGGAGAAGTAAGGTTCAATTGTTGACCGAGGTCACACTAACATTGTCCTCTTTGTCATGCCGGGCAAATGGGAGGGAAAAGTCCGTAGATACATATGTATTATGAATTCAGTGAGTAAATAATGGGCTAAAAATTGTATACAAAACGTCAGTCAGCGTTCGACTCAGTTATAGATTGTATTTGCTGACAGAGACACTGTATCGACCACAGAATTTGCAAAATTCTGATATCCTTGTTTCTTCATCTTGTTTTCGATGGTTTACCTCATTTTAGAAAGACGTTTGATATCCTTGTTTCATTAACTTGTTTTTAACTTACCATTTTGGAAATTCTTTGTAGGTAGAGCATGCTCTTGAGCTTCTAATCGACTTGGAAACTTCATAATTAGGCAACAAGGGTATTTCAAAGGGGCATATCGATCAACGTAGGAATGAGAAATAAAATGAATATTTTTTATTGATAAAAGCCATAAAACACATACAATATTTCTAAATTTGTATTGAAGGCTACAGTAAAAGATTTCTTTTTTTTCTCGTAGAAGATTTTGAATTCATTATGTACTCATATGAATACAACAATAGATCTCATTTTTTTCTTTGTTTTGTTTGTTGTTGTTGTTTGTTTGTTTGTTTTTTTTTTTGTTTGTTTGTTTTGTTTTTTTTTTGTTAGAGAACATTTGTCTATAATGTCAATGATGCCTGGATTTTAAATTATAGCGAAGAATAGATAGGCAGATAGCTAACCAAATACTCAATAGGCAATACTGAAACACTTGAAGAAAGTCAAGGTCACAAGAAAACAAGTTTTATTCTCCCCAAGTGTGTGCATGAGACATGTATACACAGCAAGCGTACATGGGTATGCCTGAGTGAGTGTGTGCGAGAACCTGTGGTAAAAAACTACAAACAAATACAAACAAATGCTTACAAAAAGTACAAAATATATTTGAACATCTAAGTTTTTAAACACACAAAAAATTTTACAAATTAAGTGACTAAAATGGCGTGCCATACTTTAGAGAATGTTTTGACTTTTAAGACAAGGAAACTTTATAGAATTCGTTAAAATAATGTGAAAATATAGCTCAAATATAAGTTAAATAGACTTATAGTGAATTTAGGCACTCATAATATTGGTTGCATGATGATTTACAAAATAATGTAACAGCAACACCAGGGCTGGTCAGACAGGTCAACAGGAAGTGAGTAAAATGTAGTTAACTGATATCAAAAATAGTAACAGATTCATAGTAGTTAAGTCATACCAAGGATCAGCTTACCATATAAGTTTTCAACAATAATAATGCATAAATTATAATAGACAACACAGTACATGTACAATGAAGCGCATTGAAGTGGTAAAATTGTCTGTTCGGATGAAAAGTTTTGAGCTATCTTTAGACACGCCCATTTCTTTAGAAAGGAAAACTCGGTCAAATGATTCAATCGAATACCAGTAGAACAGGTATTTCATAAATATAACATCCAATGAAATTGACGGTTTATATAAACACCGAGTAAGCACGTGTTCGACTGATACATGTGCCATGCTAGCTCCAGTAAACATGATAAAATCATAAATCACGGACAAAATCGTTGCAATGTGTGTTTTCCATAAGCGGGGACTCTATACATAGCTCTTTCTTATCTAAAACTCTTAATTTCATTGTAACTCATGTTGATTGTCGCGGGAAGTGCAGTGTCCTAAAACATTACGACGAATATTCCTTTCTCGTTTCTAAAGAAATGGGCGTGTCGTTATGCTATAAGTGACCTTCAAAACATGACTCAGAACTTTTCGTCCAAATGGAAAATTTTACCACTTCAATGCGCTTCATTGTATAAAGAATAAAAAACAATCTTGATATTTCGTACATTTTGGTGTTATTGACCTTTTATAAGCTGTTTTAAATTTCCACACATGGGAGTAGGGGATTGAGAATTCAAACCATGCACTTACTATGCTGTATCACAATACCATGCACATCTGACATTCTTCCATAACAACATTTAATTTTGAGAAGAGTCTCAGACTGTCTTTTTGTGTCTCTACCTGTCAATTAGTTTGTCTCTGTTTACGCAAGTAATTTTAACACTCAATTTTTTCTTCAATGAGAAATACAGTCTTTGGACTTCTAGATTTCCGTATTTTTTAAGGAGAACTAGTCAGATTATTCATGCAGGAAGAATTATCAGACATGTACATGTAGCATCGTTCAATAAAGGTAATTATGAGAGATAACTTAAAAAATCTTTTTCAGAATGAATAAATGAATGAATACGAAAGAAATAAAATAAATAGATAAATTTTAATTAATTAATTAAATTATTTTCAATATCAATTAAATAAATCTAAATGAATGAATAAAGAAAAAAATGAAAAGAAAAAAGAGTGAATGAGTTAAAATAAAAGGAAATTTGTCAAAACTTGATTTTTTTTTAATAGAAATACTCTGACAAGAACCTGTAATAATCCTGTAAGGAAATTAAAAGAATGGAATATTTCAAATACTGAAGAATAAGCCGTTAACAGTCTTAGTACCAATGAAAATATTATAAGGTATTGTGAAATCACATGCAGACCGAAATAGTATAGGAACGATAACACGGTGTGTTAGTTACTTCCGTTAATTCTTGACAAGGACGAGTCAATCGACTGCGATCCGAGGCCAAGATGTGGTGGTCGATTGTCCCCTCTACTGCTCTGACTATTGGCTTTCTTTTTATCCCTGCAACACTAGTTGATAAATTATTTCGAGTTATTCGATATAACGATAAGGTACGTAAACTTCAATTATAACTCTGGAATTATCACTGATTGTAAATAGAGGAAATTCGGAATGCATTCACTTATCATTGTTTTCTTCATTGAATTCTCTAGTCAGTACAAAGAGATACATTTGTACCTGAAGACTACACCATGAGTCACAGAGATTACTATATTATGGGAAGCAGATATGTTCGTAGGGTATGTATCCAGAGACATAAATACATTTTTTATGTCTCTGAAGTATCAAACAATTTTCATATTAAACTGATAAACTTATCATTTCTTCATTCATGTCTCTCAAATACAAATATAATTTAAATGTTTGGGTAAGTTATGGATCTCGATTTCTCATACAGAGTAACATACAATGCAAAATAGAATTAATAAAATACAGAAAAATGAGTGTTTGAATATTTTATACGCTTAAATGAATATTCATTGAAACTCTTTGTATTTTGTAATCTTTGTACATGTATGCTTAATGAACTGATTGAAAATGTCCCAAACTTGAAAAAAGAGAGCTTTAGCATTCTGACTTGCAAGTTTACATGTAAACTACAAGTTAGAATTACAATAACACATCTACATTTTTTTTTCTTGTTTAACATTGAAAAATAATTGGAAAACACATTACATTTTATATGTATATCATGGTTTTAATTAAGGAATAACTGTCTAAGTTTTTTATTTCATGATGTGATCATTGGAGTGACTTGCGTGATAATTTGCATAAATGCCAAAGGCATTTATGCATAAAATTATCACGCAAGCCAATAGATTGATCATTGTCATGAAATAAAAAAATCTGACAGTTATTCCTTATATTTGTATGCTCTTGATTCCACCAATCAACATGCTACAAGCCCCACTTCTGTCTCTATTAGTCACGCGCAGCACATGATCTTTTTTAAACTGCGCCTATGGATGAACCAGTACATTAATGTAGAAATAAAGTACATTAGCTATTTGTAATTTTATCTCAGACAACGACATTGGAAATGTAAATATATTGATATACCCCAGTATGCATATATTTATCAGAAGAAGATTGAAAAGAGTCCTTATTATTTTAATTTGTCAAAGCCTGTTTTTATAATCAAGATGTTAATCAAGATGTTGTGTATTTTTCACTCTTTAAAAATAAATTTTTTTAAGAAGCTAAGTTCTTCATATTCATATTTGCATTATATGTGCAGGCATTAGAAAAATGAATACTTTAAAAAAAAAAAAGAAAATAGGTAAAGAAATATGAGCTTCAGGTTTGGACTTACCTAAAGTCAGCAATCTACATGTAAGTGGAAACGTGTAGAAATTTGCCATTAACAAAACTGATGATGTAATGCACAGATTTCTTGAGGGAATCCCCTCCTACACATACTTGGTTTGCTAAACCTCTCTAATGTAGGCATGCTCTAAAGCTTAAAAGCATCGTATACAACAGTTAAAGTTTATCATGGAGGGAGTCGGCAAGATTCCAGTTCCCTCTGAGAAAGCCTATTTCCCTTGGCTTAGTCCTAGGAAAAAGGATTGCTCTTGGAAATCTGGAATCCTCCAAACTCCCTTATTGATACACCCTTTAACTGTATAATAATTTTGGGAATGTTGATGTTATTTATTAGATATTTTTTGTAATTGCATAGTTTACATTTTGATTTACAGGGCATGGATTTTATCCCAGAGGTTGAGTGAAGAGAAGAATATTGAGAGGAGACTGAAATGTTTTTTTCTTAAGAAATGTTTTGATGTTATAGACTTATTGTAATAAACAATTTCCTACATTATATTTCACTTTGTTTATTTCAGCTTATGGGTATGATCTACTAATTTGTAATTGTTGTATAATTTGGAAGTAGTGGTGAATGATAGCTAGCCTGCTACATGTATAACGGGGTCAACAAATGGAGAGTGGTTTTGAGTTGCATTGATATCTGGTTGAAGTACTTGATCCACAATATCCAAAAATGTATTTAAGACATTCTGACCTGTTACTTAGAATTTACACCTTAATTAATTATTGGGAGAGCCTGTTTTACTTTTTCTTCCACTATGTCATTGAAACCTAAAATGGGGTGTGATCATAAATCATAAAATTTCGGGACAAAATGTTATAAACAAGTTAGCAATATTGCAGTAATTTTTACTTTTATTTTGCGTTAAATCTTTAAAAGTTAGTTATCATAGACATTTTAAACATAGTCTTCATATATGTTGCATTGTTCTTTAAAATGTATTCATATTGAATTGTTTTGGAATCGGTCAAAAGCTCCAGTGCATTAATAAAAAAAATGACAGCTTTGGATGATTTAATTCCGCAATTTTACTTAAGGAATAAGTTAACTTGTTTTTCGATCTCATGATGTGATCAATCGATTGGCTTGCGTGATCATTTGCATAAACGCCGAAGGCGTTTATGCATAAAATTATCACGCAAGCCAATCGATTGATCATCGTCGTGAAATCGAAAAATCTGACAGTTATTCCTTATATTTCCATGCTCTAGATTCCGCCAATCCACGTGCCCCAAGACCTGCTTCTGTCTAGCTATTTGTCCCGCCCTGCACGTGTTTTTTTTTTAACCGCGCCTATTGATGAACCAGTACATTGATGGAGAAATAAAGTACATTAGCTATTTGTAATTTTATCTCGGACAAAGACATTAGAAATGTAAATATTTTAATTTCAAAAGCAGTGAAGGAGAAAATTCAGGAGTATTGTTCAACTGTATGTTTGAGAAGTGGTGTAAATAAAAAATGCCAAGGAACTTTTAGTGAATTTGAAATCAGAATTTAATAAAAATGGAAGTAGTACATGTTAATTTACATTCTTTATTAATGGTAACTTGCAACAATATGTTTTAAAACACTGACTGATAGGTGCATGTATTCTGAAACTGATATTAAAAAAGATGCTTGAGTGTCTGATTGACAATATCTAAGTGGTTTTTGGAGATCAGGTCTTCATAGGCGTCGGAACCGGGGGGGGGGGGCTTAGCCCCCCACTTTTTTTCCAGATATATACTTAGTATAGACATTGAACATATCTTCGTAAGTTTAGCCCCCCCCCCCCCACTTTCCACTGATACGTCTTAGTATAGGTTAAAAATGGGGAAAGTGGCGGTGTTTGGAAGAAAATTTTTGGTACTGGAGTTCGAACCAAACCCTCCCCCCAACCCACCCCCGAAATAGTATTTTCGTGTTTGGGAAATGGACATTTCCTTTTTTTTTTTTTTGCTTGTCAGGTTTTTTTTTTGGAGGTACAAAAAAATTTTTTTTTTACACTTAGCCCCCCACTTTCAATTTGCTTCCGACGCCAATGGTCTTCCAATAATCTGTTGGAATTCCCATTGGTACGAATTGCGTCCCGTTATTAGCAGACCTTTTCTTTTTTGCATTCATATGAAGCAGATGAATTGTTATTGAAAATCTTACACATGAGAAGACAACACTTGTGGCATACAACTAGAAGGCATTTGGAATTATCGACGACTTTCATTACTTCTGTAGCAATGTTACTTCATCACCTGCATACATGTATGGGGTTTACGTCTCTCAGTTAATTCGATATGCAAGAGCATGCTCCATGTACGAAAAATTTCTAAAACGATACGAGATGTTGACAAACAAATTGATGAAACAAGAATATCAACAGCCTCGTTTAAATTTATTTCGCAAGAATGGTCGATACAATAACCATATCAGCAATCTTTTATTTTAAAATCAAATGCTGACTGGCATTTTATACTGTTTGGTAGGTCATTATTTCAACTCTAAATTGTCTATGAATTTTCCATTTTTCTCGATCTTGACAAGGAGCTCACAGCGGATGTGCCCAATCGACAGGAGATGCTCACTCTTCCACGGCACCTGATCCCACCTCTAAAGGTTTAGAGACCCGTGTTTGCTCTGCTCCTGATTTATACTGTTTTAATGGACTTTGAGCTGGAATACTGTTTTTAGTAATCTGTTTATTTCATGCAAGCAAACAATATGAGATGTAAACACCTTGAAGTTATGTTTAAACTACTTGAAGTAGGTGGTTGAAGCTCAAACACCTTTACAAGACCTTTGTGATAACTATCCAAAGGTCCCCAGCATGTACATGTGCTTAGTTTAAACTCTGCCCAAAACGTCCGTCGAAAAAGGGAACATTTACACACATTGTGATCCTCGAGAGACCTCAGGACAATGTAAAATTTGACATATCATAGATATCTGAAAAATCTCAAAATTATTTCCTTTGCCAGTATAAATGTTTATACTTGTTTTGAGGACATTGCCGCAATACCTGAATTCATGACCTCAGAGAGATTGATGGTTACATTGTTTTGTTGTTGTTGTTGTTTTTATATCGACCTGTGTGTTTCGCGACCTTTGCGACCTATCAGTATCATTGAGAAACATTCGGAATAAAGTAACTAAAAGTGAAGACTTCATACCGAAAGACACCAGTGAGAAATAATTATTAGGATTATAAAGTATTCTTCGTTCTTTAAAGACTTCAGAGATCACTTGTATTTTCAAAACAACGATCTTTTTGTGTTCTTTAAACATAATATTTAATCGATTACCTTTACAATAGTCTATATAGTCAAACTGAAGAGACTGTGGAAACTGAGTTTGAAAAATTCTTTGACCGAATGACCGTAAAAAGTTTGATAAATTTTACAACTCTTAGCAATCTCTCAATGGTCGCCAAGCATCTCTGTGTAAAGAGGATTAAGGATAAAAAGTCCCGTAAACAACACGTAAAAAAACACAGGAAGGTCGCCAGCTGATCTCTAGGATCGTTAGTAGGTTTTCAAAAAGAAAATTATTTGAATTGAACGCTTAAGGATCTCTCATTTCTCTTTTTCGGTGATCTCACATGGTTGCATTTTATACTAGTACACAAGACAAAACTGCTAACGCACCATTTAAAATTCTTCTTTGTGAGTTGAACATTTGCCTATACGGTATCAGTATATATAAAACGCCATATTTTCCAATACAGTGGGATTGGCAAATGTCTTGCTGTCAGAACAAATCCCAATGATGACCTTCTTGCCCAAAACTTATTTCCCGACATGCATTGCGTACCTCTTTTTTGCCCAGATATATGCATAGCTAAATACCGATGATGATCCTTGAGGTTACACCAGAAACAGTCTCCCAATTAAAAAAATCAAATAAAATGCAGCGATTGACGATTATATCGCCTGCTAGTCATCTATTGCATTGGTGCCCATTCCCAGTCCACTCAACCGGTTGTCCCAATTTTGTGGAACGACATTGAAATTGTGGTGTGGTGTTTACTTAATGGCTTGGCTATCTAGAGTGAACAATTTTATGTGTACTTATCTATTTGCAACAATTTTTCACCAGAAGAATAAATATTGTTTTCATTGGTTTAATTTTTACACATCTTTTCCAAAGGAACCCCCTGCTGACACCATACTCTGTTTTATTATCACGTACGCTCACCTGGGATCAAATGCCGCATACGGTATAATTTTTTCTCTGATTTTCTAATTAGTACAAACATAAAGAACAAAAATGCAAAGAAAAAATTAGAAATATATTCCTCCAAATTAGTATGACACGATTTTCACATTTTCTATAAAATAGTCGCAATTCAGTAACATTGTAGTTATTTATTTAAATGCTTTATTTTTTGATTTTGTAACATAATAATATATCAAATACATCTTAAACAAATTTTGAAAAGTAAAATATTACTTTCTTTTGGTGGTGTGTTAGCAATTTTGTCTAGTATATATAGGTTATCTCCCTAGATTTCTCAATAATCTCGATTGGTGGCAATTCAATCGGTTAGCAAATTCTCAGTGTTCAGAAAGTAAATGATGAATCACCAATCTCTGGAAGATCCTTCAGTGCCCATTTAAATTTTCAGCGCGCAACAAGTGCTTTAAGATCTTCTTACAACATTAACAGGGACAGTTTTTTTTCTTCGAAGAATTCAGATTTTTCAAACTCTCAAAGATGGGACAACTTTTGCATCGCCTGGAAATTCAAGGGAGTCCTCAAGAAGTATAGCCTTTGACTTGGTTATAGACGAACAAAAGACTAACAATATGTCTTATTTTTTGCCCACTGGCTCTTGGTGCATTGTATTCACGTGATCTGGAACAAACAACATGGCGGCTGAATTCATGCAGTACCGGAGACCAGTAGGGGCAGGTCCATCATTGAACACGTGACCGATGTGTGACCCGCATCGTTCACATGTGACTTCTAATCTCTGCATACCTACAAAATGTTAAAGTTGCAAAAGAAAATCTCAAATACTGGTATATAACATAATAGCTTCTTGTAATTTTTTACTATACAGGTTTACACAGTTGGTGTCAACGAGATTTTCACTAACTTTGATTGGGCAAATTTTTGAGAATTATGTACATTGCATTCTTAAAACACAATAAAATGGATTATTAAGTACAATCAGTGTAACCTTACCATAAGAATTGTCCTCTACGATTCCCATCTGTGTTCCAATTTTGTCGTAAAAAGATGGCCATCCTGTGCCAGAGTTGTACTTGTGTTTTGATGAGTATAAAGTGTTGTTACATACGATGCAATGGTAAATGCCTTGTTTGTGATTGTCGTAACCAGGGGAAAAGCGTCTGTGCACGTTTGAAATTTTAAAATGCAATAATAAGTTAAGATAGTTTTACGCACACATGAAGATGATAATAATAAAACATTTTTGCACAATTATTATAATAATAAATTCATCTTAATATGATAATTTGTGAATTTCACCTCTCTGTTCCTTTTTCTCGAGTCACGTGATATTGGATGGGAGTAAGGCGTTCGCGCAAACTCTGTTCAGAATATACAAGTGGACAAGTATTGGTGTCTCGGCAGGATTGCTTTAGGACTGTAAGCACCGAGTAAGGATCAGAAGGAACAGTTGCTCCCATGGCGATCCCAATCAACGCAAGAAGCACCAGGATTTTGACCATTTTTGAAACTGAAAGCATATACAAAAACTGAATTTCAGCAAATAATATACGACGAAAAAAAAAAAACAAAAACAAAATAAACAAAAAAAAAAAAAAAAAACAAGGGCAATACGAAGCGGAGTATCCTCTCTCCAAGAGCGGATGATATATAAAGACAGTAGTCGACATCGAGCCGTGTTTTAGGACTTAAAGCCTCATTGTTCTTCCGTGGTTCCTGATAATCTTGATATATGGGTGAAGGGCTTATTCCTCATTAGGGTCCTGTGAATAGTTTGTCCCCAAGTGCAGATAGTTTTTCTTATTGTATAGGGATAGGGGTACTAAGTTTTGTTTTCTTTACGCTTAGCAATCCTGCAAACTAATAATTGTTTAAAGGTATTGTCAGGAAAAAAGATAATTTGAATTTGCCCTGGGATACTCAGTAAGCATAAAAACTAAGGTCACTTCAGACCTCTATGAATACGTAGAAACAACATTTTTTTATCCGAGCTCTGAACAAATATATCCATTACATCAATATCGGAATTTCAGATACATAATATATATATAATTCATTTCTTTGATACTTTGTTTAAACATGGGGCAGTGCCTCTCAATGTTTGAGCATTAAAAGCACGAAAAAACTAGTACATGTTACCGTATCACTATATCTTGTAACTTATCTCAATATTCTTGGAATAAATATAGAACGGAAATGATAACGGTAACATGTTTGTACTTAGTTATAAGAGGCTTCTACATAATCTTAAACAACTTGTTAAAAAGATTTGTTAACCACTAAGGAAATGCGCCTCCAAAAACTCTGCTTTTATTATACCCTCGCTTTAAAAACGGAAGGGTATATAGTGATCGGGATGTCCGTCCGTCTGTCTGTACGCCCGTTTGTTACGCTTTGGGGTACCCATCTCTTATTCGAAACTCCTCTTTTACCACTGAATGAAATTTTAAGAGACTTTTACAGAATATTTGCTATATAGTGCCATTGTGCACCTCATATTTTTATTTTACTTTATGATCGAACACATACATGCATTTTGAGTTTCCCTGAGCAAAACATGGGCACTTTCATTCTGTCTATAATATTGAAAGGTACCCATCTCTTATCCACAACTCCTCCTATACCACTTAATACAATTTAATGATACTTTCACAGATTCTTTATCACATAATGCCATTGTGCACCTCTAATTTTACTTTTGATCTGACATTTATTTCGGGTTTCCCAGTGCAAAACATGGACTTTGCCATTAAAACCATGTGAGAGGCGGAGTATCATTTAGTGAGCTCATTGCTCACAGTACCTCTACTTTATTATGAAATTGGTTGTCTGTATCGGAATTTTTCCATGCATTTCCTGATGTATGTAGTAGTGTATTCAAGTTAAAAAAACAGATATGTGAATGGAAGTTTCTTTAAATACTTATATTTTGCAGCAAAATATATAAAAAGAGATGCAAATATGTGGCAACCCTGTCTTATGCATATGGGTGTTCTACAGAAGTTTATGATTTGATGAAATTTCATAATAATTTTACTCGTCATAATATCTTAAACAACCATGCAACCAAGTATGATGCTTCAATATTCTTTCTTTTCTTCAATCCTGGTAAATTTATTTTATAAACCAAATTGAATGTTCTCTCTTAATTTTTTTTAAAATTACATGTAAATATGTTCTGTTATTTTTTCTTGGTATTTTAGATTTGTTTTTGTAATTTTATATAACCTCCACTATTTGCGAGTAAATCTACATGGTCAATTACGTAAACGAACAGAAAACACGTGTAAATACACTTACCTTGTCGTCTTGCTATCTACACTGTTTACTATTATCAGGGCCTTGTCCACTTTATATGAAGTCCTTCCCCCTAGGTCATAACGTATGGAAGGGAATTAGCGCCAAAAGTCTATTTATCTTGCTTTTATTCTTATTCTGCCTACTTCTTTATTCGTTGTTATTATTATTGTAACTATTTGTCACTTTATTGTATTCATATTCGTCTTTATTAGATTTCACTTTGAACTTTTACAGTGTTATCATTCTTCATTTTGTCCTTACTTTATTCTTGTACATTTGTGCTACTTAATTTATTTTAAATTGATAGTTTCATATGAGTTTCTTAAATAATTAATAATGAAGCCGAATCAAAATAGAAGGTGCGCAACGGCATTGTGTTATAAAGAATCTGTGAAAGTTTCATTAGATTTTATACAATGTTATAGGAGGAGTTGCGGATAAGAGATGGGTACACTTCAATATTATAGAAAGAATGGTAGTGTCCATGTGTTACGATTGAAATTCCGATAATATATGTCACAGATAAAAAAAATTAATAAAATAGGATATGCACAATGGCAATATATAACAAAAATTCTGTGAAACTCTCATTAAATTTGGGAAAATTAAAAGGTATAAAAAGAGATAAGATCGAGATGGGTAACCCAGAGCGTAACAGACGGTCGTACGTACAGACAGGTAGACGGCGGACATCCCGGTCACCATATATCCTCCCAATTTTCAAGCGAAGGTATAAAAAATGTCTAATAGATTTCAATTACACGAGGCCTTTCATGTCAATTTCAATAGTCCCTGCCCACTGACGTCAGACACAAAGACAGAGGCACGAGAACTACATGCATACGGGTATTAAGAATTCTTCTCAGCTCCTGACCTTTCGCAAGGAAAAATTTACCTTCAAGTTGAATTATCAAGAAATCAAATCAACTATAACTTTCAAAAACATATCACAGATAGAAAAAATAGAAATGGAAATATTCTCTGATAGAGCTTTTTTTGTCAAATTTGAACTTAAAATATTTCCCAGTTACAAATTTCCAATTCTAACAAGAATTTTAAACTTTAATTCAGGTTTGTGACACCCCGAAGAAACTATTTGTACATTAATACCAAGTTTGAGAAATTTGTGTTTCTCCATAAACATTTTTGTCTTAACCTTCTTTGAATGAGTTTGTTTCGAGATGTTTCAGTAAATTTTTGCATTGAATATATACGAGGGACGTTCAATAAATAATGTCATTAGCCCGATGACATACAAGAAAGAAATCATATGACATTAAGCTTGACGTTCTCTCATTATAAAATCTTTAATGAATTGATAACAGTTTATGTTACCACTTTTCATTGCATTATTTCATTGCTGGAAGCTGGAAAACAAGGGCTAGTCGAGACACTGTATTAAAAATGAATGGTCAAAGCAGCTGTAAAACTTGTTAATATCCCAAAAATATATTAAATGAAACATGTGAAATTTACAGCAACCAATGTCTGTTTTATACACCCATGAACAGGTGGATTTCAATAAACAAAAATTATATAATGATCTTCAAAACTGGGTACCTTCCTTGGCAACAAGGACATACAACAACCAATGTATATCTGCAAAAATTCAACAAATTATCACTGATTATGTTTTATTGACTTTAAGACACAAAGCAAAATTGATTGACATCATTTTGGGGGTAGTTCACACTGTTTTAAAGAAATATTTGATAGTTAAAAAGTTTAATGCTCAAAGGTCACCTTATATTTTGAAAAATGAGTGAAAGCGACAGAGTGTAGGAATATTTAAACAATTATTTTTTAAAAAATCAAAAATTGTACTTATCCAAGTTTTTCTGAACTTCAAATAGATAATGCAATTTGAATCCATTTTGCTTTAAACCCTCAAATCAAATTACAATAAGATGCACTTGACAAAAATGCAAAGGCCTAAGAAGAACAAAGACTTGCAAGAGCACAACAACAGTTTTAGATGCTATTTTCCTAAATATTAGCGATCTTGTTGTTCAAATTCATATTCGGGGTGGAAGTTCAATTTCTGGAGGAGTCTATTAAACAAATTTTTGCAAAAAAATTGAAAGGTGTATGAGAGGAAGGAAACAGAATGAGGAGTCCACTACATTAAATTTCTTCATGACAGCGTCCAAATCCACAGGCCATGAAGAGTAGAGGAGTTTTGGGGATAAACAGAGGGTTAATGTTATGTCACACCCACAGAATTTGCCAGATCTTTCAATCTTTGATTTGTTTCATTTCCCAAACTTAGAAAAACAATCATCAGAAAGAAAAAAACAGGTAAAGCAAATCATAGGATATGCTATATCCCAGTATACCAAGGGTCATGCTCAAAAATGAGTTCTAAAAACAATTAGAAATTGAATAAAAATGTAACGAACATGTATTTTAATCAAAAGAGAATATTTTAGTTAAATCATGAAGACTAAATTATAGAAAAAACTTTTTTTGTTTCTTTCCGAATCCCAATGACATTATTTATTGAACGTCCCTCGTACTTAGTGGATTTAGCCGAGGATGGCTATATCAGAGTGCAATTCACAGTCTTTTTTTCAAGTCGGGGTAGATTTTTAAACATTTTTGCTGAAATCTCTATTAAATTGAAAATAAATACACATGCGACTTCACGTATTCTTAAATGCAACTTATACAATTTTTGACTACTCATCTGTATATGTACCAGGTAAAGTTTATAGTAAGTGCGGTACAGATTTTTGTTTTCACTTGGCTGACCATGCACTCTGCATTGAAGTATTTATCCATTTCCTTTAAATTACATAATATCCCATTTTATCAATCTCTTTCTGCTTAATATTCAACGGCGCAAAATTGATTTAAAAGGAAAAAAAATAAACAAAAATTAAATCTTGATTTTGACACGAAAAAAATGGGATTAGACATAGAAGAATGTGTCCAGACTTTACTTTTTTACATAGAATTGCACAAAAACAAACGATGTGCACACACAGTAGAGCCGCCTGCATCGACCAGTCTCTGCTGATTTTCTTTGAGTACCCCTTACTAATTACCAATAACAACGGTCTGCCACCAATCCTTTTCTAAGCCCTCGTCAATACAGTAATTAATTGGATACGATTTCATATTGAGCAAACAAAATCAGGTGAATTCATTATTCTAGGATTTTAGATAATTACCATGCTTCGCATTTCTGTACATAAATACTTGGGGTGGAGATCAGAGAAGAGAGTTACATTCTCAATATATTGACAAGGTGTCCCTGTGAAGGCCCAGCTGGTTCTAACTGAGAAACTATGTTTCAAAGAGGGGAGAATTAATTAACAGTTTCGTTTGTCAAAGACTTTAATTTTTTTCAATCTCAAAATATTTCATTATAAAAAGGAAAATGAATCCCTTTCATAACGGCTGACTCACAATTTGACACATTCGATTACCTGGAAACTTTCAATTCCATTTGTTCAAATTGTTGTAAGAAGTTATCCATCTATAAGAAACACTTTAGGGGACTATTTGTCAACTATTATTTTTTTTTCCAAGTTCAAGATAATAGAATATAATACACAAAATACACAAGCACGAGTATAGCACTTCAAATTAATAAACACAATAAATAGCAATAAATAAATTAACAATATAATACTGAAATGCTTAATAAAACAACTAAGATCAAAGCGTCTGTCCGTTTACTTCCCGTGAATGCCGTACGGGAACATCATAGAAGATATCACGCCCCTCTCCATGGTAACGGTGTGCTGGGTTTCCATGTGACGACGGAGGTCCACTTTTCGCTGAAATGCGCGACCGCACTTTTCACAAGCGAATGGCTTGAAACCCGTGTGTTTTCTGCTGTGGGTGATCAGATTTGAGGACTGACTGAAAGCCTTACCGCACTGAAGACATTTGTGGGGCTTTTCTCCTGTAAAAAAAATGGTTCTGCTTAAATATGCCCCAAAAGACAGAGAAATGCTGTTGGACAGATAATATTTTTTTTTTCAAATTAAAGGATTAAAACTGTTAAAGAACTGTTTAAAAAGTAGTTTGATCTAAATATGACGGAGTAAGAATTGTCAGAAATCTTTTTGACAAGACAAACATTACTAATTAACTTTGCATTCTTGAAAAACAAATCTCTGGAGACAATATACATCATCAGCCATTAATTTCAATTAAGAGAGGTGACATTTTGCCTAAGCGGTCCCCAGAGGCCGCTTTGGCGATTGAGAACAAGATGAACCATTAGCAATCTGTGGTGACATTTTAGGATTGTCAGAGTCTCTCTACTGCATTACCTCTGTTTGGAAAACATCATTCCAGATTCTACTTAGATAAGGGACAAAATCTGGTAACGATGTCCCATATCACATATCACTAGAGAGTCCTCAATCCGATTCATGTCGCGAACGCAAAATGATTTTAACCTTTCACATTTAGGATTAATACGGCACATGGTGCCCCTTATCAATAACAAATGAATGATTGTCTATATTAGATGGAAATGCTTTTCGATTTTGTTGCAGACTTTCCCTTTTCTTCATTCTTAAAATTTTATTCTTTAAAAAGAATTAAGGAAAATATTCATCGAACAATTCAGATCTGCTAAATATTACAAAGGGGGAAATGATCACTAGTAAAAGCAATCAATACCTGTATGTATGTAAGTGTGCTTTTTCATGTCCGACTTCTGGTGAAATCTTTTGCCGCAGTACGGACAGGGATACGGTCGTGTGTCGCTGTGTATCAGAAGATGAGTTGACAATGTTGAGGATCTCTTGAAACATTTCCCACACTGTTTGCACTCAAAGCTTCGCTCTTGGGTATGAACAACCCGATGTTGATCTAAACTAACGGCATGTCCAAAAGTCTTGTTACAGATTTCACATGCATACGGCCTTGACCCGCTGTGTGACCTTCGCACGTGAACTTCCAGTCCGTGCGGTGTGCTGAAGAATTTGCTGCACTTTGTGCACTCATAAGCGCCATTTGTGGTCTCCAGTAAGGCGATGTCGTCGATTTGTTCCTCCTCTTTTGTGGTTTGAGGCCCCGGTCCTTGGGTGTGATATAGATCTCCGTACTTAAAGGGATAACCCCCAAAGTAGTGGTTGTAGGACAAGAGGAAGTTGTGGAGGAGAAAGCGTGTATCGATTCCAAGTCGGAGACTGGGGTGCATCATCGACATCATTTGTCTCGCCGCCAAAGTGTCAACCGCTGTAAAAAAAAAAAAAATTAAGATTTCGAAAATCGGATTAAAAAAAGAAAGAAAATAACATAAAAACAAATAGAATTTCTTAAGTTGTATGTAAAGTTAACATCGTCTTAGTCAAGATTTGTCTAAGTATGATTACACTGTACAACCAATACTAGTATCTAATAACGATAGACCTTTGTCAAAATTAAGTATCAATCAAGAAATTGTCATTGTTTTCTTAAAAGACGTTTTAAAAAAGGAATTCAAATTTGGGAAATGTTTAATAGTAATCTGTTAATAATCTTAGGGTCTATCTATTAATTGGCCAATGTTTTGTAATTTCTTATGCGAAAAATCTACATACATTTTTTTCATAAGAAATGTCAAATTTTTTTGCTAGGTAGGTATACATGCATTTACGGTACTTTATTGAATATAGCAAAGGAACTCTGATTAACAAGCTTCATGATTTCGGTATTCCTTAAAGCCTAAGCCTTACAATTTATTTTCTAAAACTTTATTTCTTACCAACTGTATGATATTCAACACCTTATTCATTTTTTTTAACAAAAAGAATTTATTTTCCCTGCTGCCCATAAATTCTTTGTTGAAACTTACAGATTTTTAATTGCTATATTATCTATTACAGAACTCAGTTTTTCTTGTATTTTCTTTTAATTTTAAAAGGAAAATTTAATTTAAAAGGAAAAATAATGTAATTTTGGGGAAGATTGACCAGTAAGTTGCAAAAACTTGTTTCAAATCGTGTATTATTAAAAAAAATGTGTTCAAAACATCTTTTAAAAATTTCAATCACAAACTTTCAATGGAATACTCACTGCTACTTTTGAGACTATGGTCAGTCCAGGGTCGGAATAGACCCCCGGGTTGTAAAAGGGGGTGATCAACTGGCGGGTGACCGGATCCCGAGGAGGGGTCGTCTAAAAAGTCTTTTCCATTTAGTTTAGATCCAGCAACTAAAATATTAAGCAGGTACAGATTGTGTATCATAAATGAAGAAAGGGATTGTTGTTGTTAGATTCTGCTAAATTCTGTAAACAGATATCTTAGCAACCAGAACCCTGAAATTTTAATCTTACATGTTTAGCTTAACATGCAAAATGCAATGAAAATCTAAATTTATGTGTATGAATTTCTGTGTATCAATTTGTAAGAATTATATATTTAGAAATTTTGTTTAAAGTTATTACATACAATTAACATTTTTATTTAAGGTAGTATCCTTATTTTCTGAATATCACACATTGAATAACTGATAATACTCACAAAAATGTCAACAACAACAATGAAATTCTCAAATAAAGTGTATTAGCCCACGTAAATTCTTCAAGCCATTAATTATTAGTTAATCATATAAAATAGGGAAATTAGATAAATCTCAATTTTTTCAGATAATGAAAAAATATATACTTTACATTTTCTTCTTGAAATTTGATTTAATAAAATAATAGACATATTTTGATTCTGCTTAGATCATAATTCATTTTCAAAGAAAGCTAACTTAATATATCTAATTTCACATGATTAAATAATTTGTAATCATTTAAACTTATAAATAAATATGCTGCAAATCTAATTTTTATCATGCTTTTAAGACTGATAAATAAAATACAACATTAATTCTCTATAAATTACTTACAATTGGTGGATGCTGGCATTACAAGTTGGAATGCGCTTGGGTTACCGGAATCCATGGCTTCCCCGTCGTAAAAGGCACAAATATTCTTATGCTTGACAAGGAATGATTTGGGCATACTGCTTATAAAGTTGGATAATGATATTCAAGAAAACCATGATTTCATTTTATAACAATATGCGATCGAGTTTATAATTTTACTTCAAGAGGGTAACGCCCACAAACACAAAGCACGCGAACGCTGCAACTGGGCACGTGTTTTGGAATCGTTCTTAACCAATCGCGTGCGACGTTAACAATGGAAGTTCAATGTATATTATTGAATGGGTAAACACATGCTAGAGAAAGTAATATTTGAGTTTAAATAAATATTTCCGAGTATGTTTTGTGATTGTGTTTGGATTTAGCGAGAAAGAAGTCGGGGTGTCTGTTTGAAGTGACTTTTGGGGATGATTTGGTTAATTTACTTTTCTGTAGGTCTATTAAGCGCATTAGAAGGTTTCTTATTCATGCGATAGGGGACTAACTGTTACATCAAACAATGTAAGATTTTGATGAAAACCCGTTAATTTACGGCATGTGTCGACATTCTCACCTTATGTGCATCTACCCGTGGTCCGCAATAGATTTGTTGGTTTTTGTCTCCTAAAGTAAACATTGCACTATAAACACCTACAGAATTCTATAAAATAGATTTTATTGTGAGAAAGTTAGCAAGAAAAGATTGTCAAAAGATCATTTGTTCCTGAACTTCATGAACGCTTTAGGCATCAGATGGTAATTTTTTCCCAGTTTCTCCGAAAACCCCGAATTTACATTTTCATACCTAGGAATTGCACAAAATTTATAATTCATGTCGGATTTTTCTTTTGTTCGAATATACACTTAAAGTAATAGAAAGAAGTGTTTGTAGCCGAATGATAAACATATTTGATAATCCCAGGCATTTGTAGGTATGTTACGTGTTTTTGTCATCCGGCATTTGTTATACCGGTAATTCAAAAATATATTATTAAATGTACATTTTCTTTTCAGTGAGAAATTCCTTGTATCATGTACGCAGTATATCCAAAATAACTAAAATCTCAGCAATATGATACCATGAGCGGGTGGGGACGGGTATGAGTAGATTTCTTTTCAATAATGCTAATTTGCATTAGTACAAATACATTTTTGATACATTGTAATTACAACCTTTTCGACAGCCCTCAAGATTTTATCCCTTAACAATTTTTTTTTTTTTTTTTTTTTTACTTTATTTCAATTTTTTCCCTAAATAAGTTCATCTTGATTTTATTTTTTGTATGTAAATTTGCAAAAAAGAAATGTTTAAGAAAAACATAAAAGTCATCAAACTGACATCTTATCCCAGAATAAGTTCAGTAAAAAAATTATTGTAAAGCTTGTAAAATAGTATCCATATCACGAGTACTATAGGCGTGAAAATTTTATCTAAACCGAGTATGAGATAGATTGAAAAGAACATAAATTCACCAGTTTTTTTCTTCTGCAAAATAAAGAATTTAGCATGCGAGTGGTCCTTGTGAAATTATTCGATATAAATTCCCCGAGTATCAATACTGACGTTATTTATGTCTACTGCATATATCATGGCACCTGGTAGCTGCAGATCTGTAGCGTTATGGTTTTATATATTTGTCTTTGACAGTTATGGTCAAGGACAAATATATAAAACAATAACGCTACAGATCTGCAGCTTACGGAAGCGTATTAGTGCCACTTGCACACTTCACTTTTTTTTATGTCTACACTTTAATCTGTAAATTTTACACTTTAATCTGTAAATTTTACACTTTAATCTGTAAAATTAACACTTTAATCTGTAAATTTTACACTTTAATCTGTAAAATTAACACTTTAATCTGTAAAATTTACACTTTAATCTGTAAAATTTACACTTTAATCTGTAAATTTTCACTTTAATCTGTAAATTTTACACATTAAATTTCAAATTTTTTTACACATTAATCTGTAAATTTTTGTACTTTAATCTGTAAATTTTACACATTAATCTGTAAATTTTACAATTTAATCTATAAAATTTAAAGTCATCATTTCGCAAATTCTATGGTCGATACAATGACCTTGTCAGCAAAAAACAATTCATCATTGAGTCATATGCTGACTGACGTTTTTCATAGTAATTGTTAGTCCATTATTTATACACTGAATTGACGATGTATTTTTCTCTTATTTAAATATTACAATAGCACATACGGCATTGATCATGGCATACGGTGTTTAAATCTTTCATGGCACCTGATCCCGCTTTCGATTTTTTTTGGAGGTCTGTGTTTGCTCTACTTCTATTTTGTATTGTTTTATGGAATTTTGATCTTGAATACTGTTCGTTATGTTCATATACCGGGGTATTTTATTCTATGGTCGACACGATGGCCTTGTCATTCTATCATGACAGTTTATCATTTTAAGTCAAATGTTTCCTGGTGTTTTTCAAACTATTTGTTAAGCGATTATTTACATACTGAATTAGCTGCAGATTTCCCTTTATTTTCCGATCATGACAAGTAGAAAAATGCGGGCGTGTCTTGTTGCAGGGAATGCTCACTCCTCAAGGGAAATTGATCCCACTCTGATGTTTAAGAGGTCTGTGTTTTCTTTGTTCCTGATTTGTATTGTTGAAATGGACTTGAAACACCTACAGAATCCCATAAAATAGATTTTGTTGGGATAAAGTTGAGAAAGTTAGCAAGTAAAGATTGTCAAAAGATCATCGCTCCTGAACTTCATGAACTATAGGCATCAGATTGAAATTGTTTCCCGTTTCTCAGAAAACCTCAACTTTACACTTTCATACATGAGAATTGCACAAAATTTATCACAATTTTCATCAAATTTTTTATTTGAATATACACATACAACAAATAGAAAGAATGCCTGTTCATCTTAACAATAAACATATTTGACAGTCACAGGCATTTGAATATTACATGTTTTTGTCGTCCAACATTTGTTTCAGATTATAAATTAAGAAATACAATATTAAATGAACACATAGTTTTCAGTGACAAATGCCTTGTATCATGATTGCATTATACCTAAAATAATTAAGTCTTCTGAAGCAGAATTGGTGCAAAATCTTATGCGTGAAAAGAAAACACTTGCTGTGGCCTTCAACTCGACATTTAGATATATCGACGACGTACTGTCAATTAACAATCATGGTAATTTCCATTCTTATGTATGTACAACGATATATCCTGATGAGCTTATATAAAAGACACACAAAGTTTGATAAATCTGTTTCATATTTTAATTCGATGTTTTACTTGAAAAGACGTTAATGGTAATCTAACAAACAAGCTCAATGATGAACGTGATGACTTTAACTTTTCTATCGTCAACTTCCCTTATACTTAGGCAGCATATACCTCCATCACCTGCATACGGAGCTTACATATGTCAGTTGATTAGATACGCAAGAGCATGCTCTACGTATGAACAATTTCTACAACGAGGTAAATTATTGACAAGCAAGTTGATGAAAGAAGAATTTCAACAGGCTCGTTTAAAGTCATCATTTCGCAAGTTCTATGGTCGATACAATGAACTTGTCAGCAAATACAAGTCATTATCATTGATTCAAATGCTGACTGACGTTTTTCATACTAATTGTTAGGCCATTATTTATAACTGAATTGACGACGGATTTTTCCGTTATTTCGCGATTTTGACAAGGAGCACACAGCAGGTGTGACCGGTCACAAAATTTATTAATTTCGGATTCATTTTATTTGAAAAAAACACATCAAGAAATAGAAAGAAATGCCTTTAGCCGAATAATAAAAATATTTGATAGTCAGTAAATGTTTTGCCGTCTAAAATTTGTTTCAGTTTATAAATAAAGAAATAGATACATTATTAAATGAACGCTTAGTTTTCAGTGACAAATGCCTTGTATCATGTATGCATTATACCTAAAGCAATTTTAATTCATCATTTTTTTTTCTTCTGCAGAATAAAGAATTTAGCGCTTGAGTGGTCCTTTTTGTGAAATTACTCGATATAAATCCCTCTAGTATCAAATACTTCATGACGTTATTTATGTCTCTTGTAATTATATATTATGGCACTTGGTTGAATAGATTCTTTTAAACCTTTCAATTTTTCCCTAAAGACTTGAAACATTTATGTAAAAATTTTCTGACAAGCCTTTTTTCAAGAGTAAATTTAATTGCTAAAAATGTTTGAGGAAACATATAAGGTCATCTTTTTGAACTTTAACTTTTAGGTAAATACTTTCAGTGAATACAAATATTAGCCTGTCTTCCATATAAAACTTCAAAAAGCTTCCAAATGGCTATTACACAGTACATGTATATAAAACTGAATCTTTAGTCAGCTTGAAATAAAAGATACCACAAAGTCTGGCACATCTGTTTGATATTCTGATATTTTATTAGAAATAGACGTAGATGGTAACCTAAACACAAGCTTTATGATAAACGTGGTGACTTTAAGTTTAACTTTTCAACTTTCCTTACTTATGCTGCAATATTCTATTATCAGGGGCATAGCAACAGGCCCCCCCCCACTTTTTTTCCCAACCTTACTTATACTATAGGAAATGTTAATTGAAAACATGGTTGCCCCCCCCCACTTTTAGTGATGTACCGAAAATGAAGCTAGGTACAAAGTAGGTGTATATAAAAAATGTTAGCCCCCCCCCCCCCCCCCCCCACGAAATATGTTTTTCGCATTCGGGCAAATTTAACCTTTTTTTTTTTTTTTTTTTTTTGCTTGTCAACTTTTTCAGGTAAGTAAAAAAAATTTTTGACTTTAACTTTTCCCCCCCCCCCCCCCCCCCTTTCAAGAACGATGCTACGCCACTGATTATCACCTGCTTACGGGGTTTACATATTTCAGTTGCTTTCAAGAAGTTCAAGTTCAAGCTCCACGTATAAACAATTTTATAAAAAAAAGGGTTAGTTATTCTCAAACAAGTTGATGAATCAAGAATATCAGAAGTCTAGTTTTAATCCATCTTTTCGTAAGTGATCTGGTCGACACAATGGCTTTGTCATTCTATCATTACAATCTCTCATTAAATCAAATGCTTACTGGCGTTTTTCAAACTAATTGTCATGTCATTGTTTACACATTGTACACATTGGTTTTTCCCTTTATTTTTCGATCATCGACAGGGGATGCTCACTCATCTAAGGCACCTGATCCCACGTCTGATGTTGTAGAGGTCCGTGTTTTCTCTGCTCCTGATTTGTAGTGTTGAAATGGACTTTTGATCTTGCATCTCTGTCTTATCTCCGTTTATTTCACCATAGAGACTATTATTAGAAAAAAAGGGGTTAAATCCTTCCTGTTCATACTATTTTGTATAAAATTTTGATGTTTTCAACAGTTCCGTCATAAATCTCCCGATAAAGAATAGTTTACGACTTCAAATAAAACTTCTAAGATGATCTGATTGAATTCTACTTTATTTAATTTCTCATAGCATTTTGGTACATTTGAAAAAATACAAGGAGGCCGATGTGCAATATTTATTATAAACTAAGGGTTGTTCAAATGGTGACTGTGGCATGGAAGAAAGGTCCAAAAATGCTACTAACTAAGGCGTCTAAGATGCTATATATATAACCCTGGTGAAAAATTATATTTTTTGAATAAGGAAATGTATGGATTTGTAATAACTTTAGGATTATGATTGCAAATGCAAAATAATAACAATAACAGAGATATACGTAATTTGTCCAGTTTTGAGAGCTTGAAATGTAATTAAAAAAAATGACCACTCTGTACCTGGCCTGATTTTAAACCAGTACAAGGCAAGGTATTCATGGATTTAATTGATTAACCATTATGATGAAAGATTCGGCTATTTACCGATAAGTCAAAAAGTGTTTATTAAGCTATGTTCTTTAGGGGTTGATTTTATCGAGTGCTATGAGTTTCACTTTTGTCTATTATAATTGTATTATTTGATTAACAGAGTTTACTGTTCGGGTTTGGGAATCTTGGATTGTTCTCTTGTTAAGGAAACACATGCTTTGGGTCGCTCTAAAGACCGCACTCTGCGGGTATTGTCATTCAAAGACCACGGTCCCCATTACATCACTGTAACGGTGTTTCGTGTATCAACAAAAGGAATTGGTTTAATGAAAGACAACACAAATAAATCGAGGTCTTAGACTGATTCTCAGTTTTTAAAATAGTGTCACTCAACCTTAACCTAATTAACTTATAACGACTTTATCATAGATTTGTAGCATTTCTCTGCATTGTATTTATGCCGAATTTATTAATAAAATTATAATTAAATGATAATGTCTTCTAGTTTTAAAAGAAAAAAACTTTAATGATTGATTCTAAATGTGTTGTTTTTTTATTATTATTAAATGAAAGATGGCTACTTTGAACCAACAAGAACTGCATGGTATAACCCCAAAAAGTATCTTGTAACAAGTCCATATATTGTGAATATGTATTAATAAGAATAGTGGCCAAAAAGTAAGTAAGTAAGTAATTTATTTATTTATAGTGATATGTGTACATAATTAAATTTAAAAAGTATGAGGCATGATAATTTATTCCAGAAAATAGGTCGTAATTAAGCGTTTTTTATTTAAAGACCAATTCTACAAGGCTAAATACATACATAATATTATATGAAATATATCACATAAAATATATCAAATATATATCAAAACAAATATAACAATGCATTTGATCAATACAAGCAATACACTGCAATATATAAATAACAATATTACACTGATATAGGTCAATAAAAAGATCAATATAAACATTGCAATGAAATAGATTAACACAAATATTACACTGAAATACTTCTATATCAGAACGAACATTTTATGAAATACTAGTATATGAAGACAAATGCAAACATACAAATATTATAATGAAACAAAAAAATATCTTTTTAAAAAAAATTTATTGCAAACATTGCAATTAAAAGAAACAATTAATAAACATTATTTAAGAAATAGATCAATATTGTTTCAAGTATTACACATATATCGTGCATTTATTACTCTAAAATTTAAAAAAAAAAAGCATAAAAAAATAGAACATCACTAAAAATATTAATATCTTTGTGCTATGGACAAACTGAAAAATAAATAAAATACAAAATAAAATAAATTATGATATCTCTGCAGAAGACTTATTCAGGAACAATAGATACTAGTATTTATAACCTCGAACTAAATTCCAAGATAACAGTTTATAATGTAAGAAGTCGATCAGTATGGAATGTAAGCTGTTTCTAGTTTTTGTCTGCTTTGGTTTGTCGTTCGGAGGTACGTATATACTGAGGTAGATATTTCAATTTTTGCAGTACAGTTACATACATTGCGCACTTCTCAAATCAAATTATCTTTTTAGCTCACGTGGTTCAGCGACGTCAAGACACTGGAACTCCTCATGGAATAGGTAATAAAGTGAATTGTGTTCAAATAGTGTATTCCATTCAGCGGGTCTACAGCTTTATTTGTCATAGTTTTGAAAACTATATTAGGAAAATACGATTGAAAACTGGTGTCTCAAACACTTATACCTCGAACACCAGAAATATGTCAAAGTGATTTGGAAAACCCAACCTCTTATTCTTAAATTAATCTTTTATCTTTAATATCTCAAATTGATAATTGACTGTTATGTTCTGTAATTGATTTTACTCAAATATTCAAGCCGTAATATTTTTTTTCTTCAAAATTGTTGTAATAAGTATTATTTGATACCATAAATTCATAACAGGCAAATATTGGTTGTTATGTGTAATGACTACCAGGACAACGTGCCTTAAAGTTGAAAGGGAATCATTAATGGAGATAATGAACAGTATTCAAGTTCAAAAGTCCATTTAAACAATAAAAATCAGGAGCAGAACAAATACGGACCTCTAAAACATCAAAGGTGGAATCAGGTGCCATGGAGGAGTGAGCATCCCCTGTCCATCAGTCACACCCGCCGTGTGCTCCTTGTCATGATCGGGTAATATCGCAAAATCCGTAGACAACTCAGTAAGTAAATAATGACCTAACAATTAGTATAAAAACGCCAGTCAGCATTTGACTTAATGATAGATTGTATTTGCTGATAGCAATAACATTATAAAATTTATTGTAAGAATTATGGTTGCTTTAACTATATACGTACAGTGAATTAATAGTAACAGAGATGGAGATATGCTTGTACATTCAAATCACTTAATATTTGAAGCGAATGTCAGTGTCACCTATGTGACCATTAAGAGCCATTCTCTGTAATGATTTGAAATTTTATATAGGAGGTGTGGCACGCATAGTCTCAGAATTTCTCCAAACTCTCTATGATAAAAGTCTTTGATACCCTAAACTGAAATCAGACAAAATTTGGTTGCTATGCTTTATAGTTACCATGGCAACATGTCTTAAAGTTCGAAAAATGGCATTTTTAACATGTTTAGAGCCCCATAGTTAACATTTGCGGCAAAGCAAACAATTGGCAATGACTGTTTCCAAAAGTTGAAAAATGCATGATAATCATGTTTGGTAAATCAACTATTACATACGTTACTATGGTAACAAAGTATTCAAAAGTAAAAAAAAATATTCATTGAATTTTATAAAGTCATACACGTAAAAATAAAAAGCAATTATAGGATGTAATGTGACCAAATAATAGAAAAAAGAGCCTTGAAACATATACCAAGAACAAAATATGATATTTCATTTTGGTTGGCAATGGTTGCCAACGTTTTTATACCACAGAGAGCCTTCAAAGTAACACTCTGTATGTTTAAATCTGATCCTATCTTTTAAAAAAGCACATTTCCTCATAACTAATGATCAATTTTTAAAGATGTTGGTGTGCCCCTAGGTTTCCCATTTGAAAAAAATTCAGATTAGATTCTTTAAATAGAGCGTTGCTATGGAAATAAGCAGAAAATATATACTTAAAAACCTGAAAAATATTTTCTCTCCTTGGATACGTACCCTAAATGTAGATTCCCAAAACTTTTATGATTGATATTTATTAACAGCTAACCTGACTTTTAATTTTGATTATCAACCAATCTCTAAGTGGATGCAAGAAGTTGGCACACAGGGTTTAATATTGATATAAAGTTCACCAAATCGAACATTTTCCCTCCTTGGTAACCATAGCAACAGTGTTGTTTTCTTCATCAAATTTTATCAATATATGATATTCAACTTCAGTTCTAACAGATAAGTACTATTCAAACTGAGTCCTTTAATTTGTTTCTTGATTATATGGCAATTTAATTCTTAATGCAGCGAAAAATAATACACTTTTAAGCACTGGTACTTTGTTTCCATGGTAACACTGCAAAGTAGCAATTATACCCAATTTTTCTTATGGTTTTGGTGATGCAAGGTCCTAAGGATGCATATTTGCCAGTCTTGAATTTTAATGTTTTTCCTCAAGACAGTGGCATTAACCCAATCTTAGTTACTGGTTTTGCATGGTTACACTGTATTACCATGGCAACCATAAAAGTTATTTATAGAATAATATTGCTTATACTTACATACTTAAGGTCAAACATTTTCATTGTTTTTCTTAAGTCGTTGATTGAGTTTGAGCATGTAACACCTACCATTAGTGAATACGGAGTGTTTTTCAGCATATTTCAGCATTTTAAATGTATTCCAAATGTACCGTTGGTTACCACTTACCTAGAGATATATTCTAAACAGTTTCTTTACAGTATAAGTGACATCAAGGTGTCATGTTTTTGTGAGAATGGTTTGTTTGCTTTTTCTAGATTTTATTAAGCCACAGTCAAGATTTAAAGGGGCTGAAAATCTTGATTTTTCAAACTTTTCCGGCTGTTACCATAGCAACCGAAACACTTAGCAACGAAATTTTGTTTGATATTTGTTTCTGGTGTCAAGTACTAAGCATGGGTGAAGTTTCATCAAAATCGTTGAACATGCGTGGCAACGAAGTTCAAGTGGTTACAGAGAATGGCTATTAATTGCTAGAGCTAAAGAAGATGGGTTTGAATTATTAAACATAAAATGGAAGGACTGTCCCGAGATACAATGAAGACACCAGTCCATATATTTGTAAGCTCAGCCGAGATTTGGACAGACATCAGGTAGAAATCACACGCTTTATATCACTATCAGTTGGCCATAGATACAAATTGTGTTTTTCTATTGCCTTGAAGGCGGTGTCTCCTGTCCTCACTTGTTCTACAGTGGAAACAGCACTTGCTACAGAGTTGTGCGTATCAAAGCGACATGGCCAGAAGCTCTGGTAAGTTTTATTACATTACACCCACGTTTTTGCAAACATTACATTACACCAAAGTTTATGCAAACACGGGCATCGACGCTCACCCGAGTGTTTTTTTTTTTACAGTATTGTTTTAAAAATGATTTTTAACCTCGATATTTCTATTTTAAAAAATGATGACCCCACATCGTGGCCCCGGTATAGTCCCAAGGAATCATGAATTCACCGATGGACATGATATGTTTACTGTTTGACCCATTAGTTTTATATAAAAATCGAAATACGGTTATTTTTTGTGATAGTTTGCAATTAGGAACCTCGATTGATTCTTGTATTATAATCGGTATTAATTTTGATTCAGTCCATACACGGAGATCACAAATGGATGACAATTTAAACATTTTACTGATTTTCCTCAATTCTGATGGAATTTCGCCAAGATGCTTTTTACTTCCGGAAACATAGAGCACACGCTTGCCTGAGAATTTTGATTTTTTTTTTTTTACCTTCCTGTGTCCTCTGTGTATTTTTTAACAGGCTGGGATGACATGATGTTTTAATTATGAAGTATTTCATTGAATTGAAAGACTATCCCTAAAAAAATTGGGCATGCCTTTTAATTTAGAAGTACTAAGTATATGAAGATTCCGAATACCAATTACAAAAAAATAATTTTTGTACCCTAAATTTAAATTGCTGTATAAAACGGTATTTATTAACTTTGATTAATGAGATAAATCTGCTTTGATTTTTAAAAAATGATTGTGAATTATTAATCCTGTTTCGCAGGCCTATTGTGAGGCGTACAAAGCAGAGCTTGCTATCATTGAAGATGAAAACGAACAAAGATTTTTGGAAAACTACATCAAGGCAGAAGCGGGTAAGAAAAAATATAAGGTACAAGTAATAATAATGGAGGCTATTACATCGACAGCCTTTGTTACAGAGCGGCAAAATACTACAAATCTTTTGAAATCTTTAAATATGTAGGCAAAAAAGAAGATATTTCAATGTTTCCTCACGAAGCATTGTGATAAACGGATCTTAATCATTATTTATCTAAATATTATATTTTAAGCCTCGTATTCGACTGCGGAGTTTTGGTTGGGTGCAACTGACATCATGTCTGAAGGTGATTGGCAGTGGGCTTTAACTATGGAGAGGGTAATATTGTTTATGATTATCATAGCATTTATTTTATGTCATAGCAGATCTTGAAGTTCATATAATAGCAACCATAATCTTTAATAGAACGTTGTTTTGTGTTTTTGATGGTCCTCTTTGATAGCATTAAGGAGGCTGGGGGTGGGGGTGGGGTCAACAAATTATCCAAAAATTAACCACCGGATTTAACTTATTTTTTTAAAGATATGGTATCTTAAGCTGTCAACTATCATTTGGCAAAGAAAAAATTCATACATTTTAGTTTTAAAATTTGATCATTTTTGTATATCTTTATATGGAGCTCTTCTTCTAAAGGAGATCGAATTGTCTGAAAATGGCTGCTACCCCCCGGCCTCTTTAAGAGGCTGACAAATAGATTTTTAAGGCACTTGTCCAAGGGCAAGTACATGGTCAAAATTCACTTGCTCTACCAGAAACTAATCCTGAATTTATAAATATTTCCAAAAAAAGAGGAAGACAAATACTGATTAGATCATGCATGCCCTTATGCACAGCTTTAAATCCATGGCTTACATATTGATTTTATTTTTGATAAGTCACTTGTCCACGGCAAGGGGTTGATAAAATTTCACTTGCCCACCCCTAAAATTCACTAGTTGCGGGAATCAGGCAATGGGATTTGCCATCCCCTAGCATTTACTAATTTTGAAGAAATTTATCGGGCTCGTCATAAAGCCAAAGCCAACGTAGCCAATATTTGCAAACTCAATGAGCAAAAGTTGTTTCTTTGCAAGATATATCATTGCTAACAGAAAAAAGATCCTTTACAGGTGTCATATACAAACTGGAAACCCGGAAATCCAAATAATGGACACAATGTTGAGCACTGTCTAATGATAGACGGAAGCAGCAGCTTCATGTGGAATGATGATAACTGTGAAACACACAATTATTTTGTATGTGAAACCCTGGAAACATCGTAAACCCTCGGGTTAGTACTGCAGAGTCATATTTATATTTTTGTCCTTAAAAACTTTAACCTTGCCCTTAATTTTAAACTTTAAAGGGGCTGCACTGAATTTTTTAAACCAATTTTTAATGTGTTTAACTAAGGCATTTTCGCCTTATAAAATTTATTGATTAACAAAATACAGAACTTAAAGTTCTTCAAAAAGGCTCGTGCCTTGTTTTTGTTTAACTCATCACAATTTTACCTCAGCAAATCAATAGAAAGTAAGGTTAACTGAATTCAAATTAATTAGTGCTGGATTTAAACAAGCATCATTTTAAGTACTGAACTACAAACTATCACAATTTTAACAGTGTTCTGATTTTTACACCAAATAAGGGGCCAGATTCGGCCAATATCATACCTTGTCCTTTACTCTTCGTCATAACTTTTGTACACTTGATGCTGGGGCTTTCATACTTCACAGGTTTATTTATGGTGACAAGATCTCTCCCTGGGTATATTTTTTTTTTATCTTTTGACCTTAGTGTTTGACCAACTTTTTAACTTTAAAGGGGCTTGGACACAGTTTCAACTGAATTTTTTGAACCAATTTTTAATGCTTATAATTCCAACTAAGGCATCATCTAATGATCAGCAAAAAATTGAACATCATTTATTGATTAACAAACGAAATGCAGAATTTAAAAGTTCTTCAAAATGTAAACAAGGATCCAAAATGTAAACAAAGCTCGTGACTTATTTTTGTTTACATATAGAAAATATCATATTTATAACAAAATGAGATTCAGCTAATCAATAGAACTGTCTAACTGTATTTAGAATTAACTTCTTTATTGAAATTATCTGCTTTGAACGACCATATATTAGTATATAAATCTATGTAAACAAAACATGACACGGACTCTGTTTACATAACAAAGGTTTGGAGCTCTAAATCTGTCTTGTATCTTACAAACTGAAGTTCAATTTTTTGATGATCATTAGAAAGACCTTAATTATATATTTGTAAAAATGGAAATATAAATTTGAATTTGTTTACCTGAAACTGTGTATATGCCCCTTTAATCTTCGTCTTAACTTTTTAGTATTAAAGACTTTCATATTTCACATGTGTATGACTTGTAACAAGACCTTACTTTGAATAGTAAATTTTTTTGACCTTAATTAATTGTGAATTGTCGCCATAGTGTGGTCTTATATTTTTTAGTGGTATAAAGAATAAAAGACTCGATCAAACTTTGTTTCATCTGTCCAAAAATTAGAGAAAAAAATAACTTAAACAGTAGAAAAATGAAAATATTGTAATATTATCTTTGTTAAATATGTATAAAAATTTGTGAATTCAGGAAAAAAGTCCGTAACCTCGATAGTGTCGATGAAATATTTCAAACATCTCTGTTTTAGATCTATCTGTACAATAAAAATACATTGCTGAACAACTTGTACACATAGGTGTAACTGAGTGGATAAATCCGGTAGTTCATGATCTAAACTTACAAACTGTAACATTGTACAAGTAGCCAACTCGTACTGCGAGACAGTGTGACATTTGTATTAGAGTTATCTTTCTTGACATATAAGCGATTGTCCAGATCGAAAGTTCACTTTATTCATCATTATTCACTTTTATTCATCATTTTCTGCTCTCTACATTTGAGGAATTCATATTAATAAGAAGTGGGTTGTGCCTTCATTTTCCATTTAAAGGCATGTTTTATTGATATACAATTTTTTTTTTCACTTCAAGCGATTCATAAGGATTTTCGGCTATCATTAATTTAACAAAATCATGATGCCAGATGGCGTTTCATTAGGATCATTTCTTCTTACAATGCAATATTTCAAACTAAAGATAACTCTTTAATTTGTCTTCTTTCTATACATGTCTCAAAGGTTTAAAGTGAATAATCGCTCTTTATGTGGTATGCCTCACCAATCTTTTATGAAATAAACATTTATTTTTATCTCTTTTGACATACATGTATATGATTTCGAATTAATCATCGAAAGACCAATACAAACTCAATCTTCATTATTTTATTTTTTTATAATTAAAAAAATTTATTTTCACTGAAAAAAAAATATTTTGTGAAAAAAAAAGATGAGTTAATTTTGTCTTGTATAATTTTTTATAATCCAAATATTGAACTTGTGTGGGTTTCGACATAAGACACACAGTGTAGAAGAGATTGATTAATTGATTGAATATTGTTGTTTTATGCGGAGTCAGCAATATTTTAGCCATATTTAGGCGGCAGAGGAGACGCTCCAATAGTAAATGACCTGAAAAGTAATTAGATTATTGACAGCCCTTGATTGGGTATGGGTATATTATTCTTATTTTGGTGTTCATCACGTGTTAGTCAGTGGTCAATGACCGACATACCACGGACCAAATGTTCAGTATGATGTCTTAAACTGCTCACCGCCTGAGTCTAATCTTTGCTTAATTTGCATAAATTCGATTTATTCCTCGTTTGTGGAAGACTGCTGATGAGAATTAGGGCTAGTTTTAATCAGTGCTTCTGCTGTTTGTGTAAATGTTTGTCTTTTTATAGAGCTTCGGCAGTAATGTAAGTTAATCCATTGACATCGCAATCTAATTTTTGGTGTGTGAAGTTTGGGGTTGTGTCACCTTAAGTGTCGATCTTATTGAGCGGTCAGAATTATGACGTTACGATTCCGGTCCATTACATCAGAGTCTTAGTAGAATATGTCTACAAACGAACGGAGGCGGAAATTAAGTTGAGATCAAAATAAAGATGGCTGTGTTCAATCTTTTGAATCAATATTCCTAGAATTAATCTGGTTTTGCTGTCGGTCTCCTATGCTTTGTAATTATGTAATTTTATCTAACTACCGAATGTGTACTTTGATCTGGAATTGCACATTTTAATTCCAATTTTATAGAGTCATTTTCTTTAATAAACGTCACGAAATAATGTTTTTTTTTTAATCATTATTAAAATAACCATCTGTTAAAACCATCGTTTATAAGATATGTCGAGATAACGACCAGTATTCAAACTCAAAAGGCCATTCTGAGAATAAGATTCAGGAGCAGAGCAAACACAGACCTCTAACACATCAGATGTGGGATCAGGTGCCATGGAGGAGTGAGCAGCCCCAATCGACCGGTCACACCCGCTCCTTGTCATGATCTATATAGAAATAACGGGGGGATCTTTCGACAATTTTAATGTGTAAATAATGACCTAACAACAGATAGTTTGAAAAACGTCAGTCAGCATTTGACTTAATGATAAATTGTACTGTATACATGTATGATCAGTCATTCTTCTTCTCTCTTACAGATTACATGAAGAGAAATAATGCTCTATTTTCTAGAAATAAAAAAGGAGTTCTTCCTTCGTTGTATTTCGAATCCGCCAGGACAAAATACACATTATTCTACAACTTCATTAATTTAAACTTAACAGCTATTTCCGCGAAAATATTTGGCATCATTTGTTATTTTTTGAAAGAGGATAAAAATTAACATAATTTACGTCAGTATGAAAAGTATTTTATTTAAGTAACTATATAATCAATTAAATAAAGGTTAGTACATAAATGAAATTTTAAAAATGTTCAAGTACTCGTTAATAGAAGTTTAACAGAAAGACCAAAATATGGGTGTTTCCCATTTGGCCACCTGTGCCAGGTAAGGTTTTAATGCCTGTTTCAAGGAATCTACCAAATTAACATTAAACATTTTTATATGCCTTCAAAATTGAAGTAAAAAAGGGAAAAAAGTTCTTTGTTTTAAATCTCAACTTTTATTGGAAGTGTTCCCAATGTTCTTGTGGGAAACAATATCGTAAAAAAAAAGTAATACAACAATTACAAGCTTTCTGTGCCAAGGTACCAAACAAGTGGAGAGATCGGAAACATTCCAACGAGAATTCGCCAATCCCCCACCTATCACACACAAACGGAATAAATAACAATAAAATCCTGACATCTACAACAAAGACAGACATCATTGATATGTACAGATATTGTCTATAAAAGTCATTATCACTCTCACAAAAGTCTTATTACACAAGTTATGACTTGTCCAATATTCCTGTTCTTTCTCTGTAATGCAAGTGGAACTTGCATTCAAGTAATTTTCAGTATATATAGCGTTTAAACTACATACTTAAATAAATAATACATATTAGTTTTTTATCACTGAAAAACTAACAAAAATAAATAAATAAACACATGAATAATCAAAGTTTATATTGCACTGTCTCACAAGCGATGACTAGAAAAAGATAAATACAGCTTTTAATTGTAGCCTTTCCTTTGGAATTAAGAAGAAAGGTTATGTTAATAGTTTAAAGCTGTAGATTCACACGTATAGCACCGAAACATCGGCGGATTGTCAATAGAATGGAGGGATTACATGTTAGTACAAAGACCCTTGGAGCATAGTAAAAATGCCAGTCATGATATCACACAGGTTAATACAAGTATATATACCAGTACCACCACCCCACTCAAACGGCAGCCAAAGAGCTGCGGGGTCATAGGTCATCGCTGGCGATCGACTGTGTCATATGGTCTTTATTCAAAGACCAAATCGTCGATTTGTTTTACTTTGCTAGGGCCAATGCATTTGGTCCATGGTTTCGGTAATATTTAGGAATGATTCTAATGACGTAGCAGCACCAGAATAGTTGCGTGTTCCTGATTGCGTCAGTGGTCACGTGACTTAGACACGAGACGTCTGCTTGATTGTTTTCTTGATTTTGGATGATAACTTCTTGGACTTTCCGCCGAAACATCCCCAGAAGAGACTGGGTTTGACGGGGGAGGATTCCTCTATGATGGGGGTTGATTTCTGGACGGGAACATCTTCAAGGTCCTCTACAGTCCCAAACACCTCGGGGTCAGGGACATCGACAACTCCAACACTGAAGAAATATTCCTCAGGGGGCCTCCAGTTTATTTCCAGTTTCGTGACTGACAAAGCGTTGTCAAGATGATGAAGATAATAACCTAAAAGAAAGCAGTACATAAGAACTGAGTAAAGTGATGATAAAAGGAAATAAAACTGATAGCCGATATATGTTTTTAAAATCGATAGATTTTATGACTGATAGTGAACGGTAGCTCCATATTTTTGTCAACAGGATATTGATAGGGCTGTACTATGTACACACCTTTATGATGGTACGGCTGGATGAAGACACTGCCGTTTGATACTGAATGCATTATGAAGCACCTGTCATCCGGGGACTGGGGATCTACGGGGGTTTCTGACCTTTGTACCGCTAACCCCCGATCAGGGGTCACGGACAGATACAGATTCCCCCGACTGTGGAGCCGGAATGTGCAGAATTCTGTGGTGTTTTCCCCGTCCTGAAGCGTGTGTTTTGTCTGACGAAATATGTCTGCAGTAAAAAAAATAAATAATCAGTTAATCATGAACATTTCTAGTTTAACAATAATGATGTGATTAAAGAACTGGGAAGAATAATTTCAAAGACTTGTTTATATTATTTTGTATTTAAAAAATATATTTGTTAATACTCAAAGTTGTTTTCGAATCTATTGGAAATCTGTCCAATACCTGAAGAATCCAGATAAATCGAGACATTTTATACAATTACTTTCGTAATCAAAAGATTTATATGTCGTTAATGAGCAGCGGAGAAAAATTCTCCAAGGACTAAACTTCATAAACATGTATCCATACACGTCATTCTCATTGTATAATACAGTGCGATGATAGTTGATGTGCTTAGTATGTATAACGTGTTGTGTTCATGAAATCCATACTAATGTCGACAGAGAGTAACTATAAACGAGGACAACCCGCGCCGTGCTGCCGTGAAAATCGAAGACTGGTCAACGAAGAACGTGTGAAAAAAGGGTTCCTGTCTACTTTTCTGTCCAGTAAATAGTAAATCTACAATATTACCAATGGCTGAACAGACTGCGGTTTTTTTGGTACATTCTTTATAGCGAAGCCACAGGTGGAATTCATCGTACGATTTATTAAATGCCCTTGTTCTGGGATAGTTTATGTGACATTAATTAGTTCAGGCATAATTAATACGTTTTTTTAACATACCGAAAAAAATCTAAGAATCTGAATTACTTTTATAAATAACTAAAATTATTAGTTTTTTTTGTCTACATCCTCTCAATGACCCTGCCTTATACATCTAAACAAAGATTTGTACACGATTGGTTAAATTAGGCCATTTATCAATATAGAACCGGAAATCATCAGGATTGGCCAAATTATCACCTATTTGCATCCCACTGCTGAAGAGGAAATAATTCATAATTTTTTTGTTTTCCATTTTCATTAATGTCACTATTAGCGAATAAATATATTAGTTTATTAAGTTACTTAGCAACTCATTAGACATTTACAATTTTCGGTCTTTAATACACTGGGTGCATGTTTCATTACGATGTACTCTATGTGATTTTTATTTTTATTCATGTCCTTAAAATCTACTCTTGAAATACAGAGAACTGTTTATGCAAATATCCCTTCCTTGAAGTAAAAATAATTAGGCCGGCGAAAAGTCTGGATTTTTATTATATTTTTAGTTTTACTTCCTTAAATATGTACACGCGGTATACACTTTTTTTCCTTCAAAATAATAGGGTTATTATTCAGCATTAAAAATATTTCTTCGACACAACACACATTAAAATAAAAATTTAAAATAAATTGCAGGCAGGGTATTTTCCCCCCAAAATATCGCAATGCCCCCAGTGGTACAAACCTTTTAAAGAAACGATCAAATGCCCAATGATAGGTGTGTCTGAATTTGTAAAAAGATTCGACACAGTTTCAATCTTTTTTATTTCCTTATGCCAACTGGCTTATAATATTCAAATGAGACTCACAAGTATGGGAATAATTGAGAGGAGTGATGGGTGCGTATAAATCCAAGAATGAAAATGTATATAATGATATTAAGTTATTTTTTTCCAAACAGGATGACAGGATTAAAAGATCTACCCAAATATTAAAATTTATCTAACTTACTTGAGTTGTTCGGATCTTCTACATCCCCGAGGTAAATTCGGTTGAGTTCCTCACATAGGCTAATCACGTAACCGTCTTTGGTTTCTACTGTTACATTTGAATTGTTTTCTTTTTGGGCTGAGTTTCTTCTTCTTATACTTTCTATTAATGAAAAAAATCAGTTTCATTAAATTTGCCTCTTTTATTTCTTTAAAGCCATATATGGCGTAACTGATAAAAAAATATATTTTTGAAAAATACAAAATTAAGTAAAGAAATATAGTTGATACATTTAAATTAAAGGTTTTCATTCAATTCTGAACACGGTGAACACCTCGTTTCATCTAAAAATACGATTTTTATCTTCTCTGTAATGTGTTATTTCAATCTTTTGTATTTTCTTCCAAGTCGGAGAAAATTCCGAGAATCCAAATTAAATTGTGGTATCTTTATAACGCAATTGACTTAGATTTTGTAATTTACGGAAAAGTTCTATCTTTATATAAAATAATGATACAAATAATAAGTTCTTATAATTTTAGTCCATTAATTTTCAATCTACATACGCCATATATGGCTTTAATCATTATAAATTTACCATATATCTATATTGATATCTATATAATATAACTACCTGTGTAGCTTGTTCTTGTGGAGGATGAGCTGTTTGCTTCACTTTTTTTCGCCTAAAATTGAAGAAAAAAAAATCAATAATTAAAAAAATTGTATTGAAATTGTTCAAGGCTAGTTGCACTAAACGTGGTAAAATGTTGATGTAATATTTAAACCCTACAGAAGGTGACAAGGGACATTGTGTAAATTGAGAGAATAGAATCTTTTTTAAAAAATGTCAGCGAGAGGTAACGCACTGAAAACAATGAAATCAGCAGACGTGCACTTCATTAATTAACAAAACCTATTTCTGTTCAGTACACGGAATGTCTACACGCCCCTGGAGATCGCGCCGGCTGGGGGTGAAATATTATACCCTCCAGGGGTCACCCTATAATCAGAATGTGGTAACGTTTTGTTTTGGCGACTAAAGGTAGAAAGTACTAAATGTCACAACAAAATACCTCAGGTTTACCCCCATTATTATTTGTAAACGATATTCAATAGAATATATATTTCATTTATAGACCCCTTGACAATATTGTTTGAGAGTCTTTCTACAGGTAAGTTTCTAAATAAAGATAATATACAAATGTCCTCGGGGTTTTTGATCTAAAAATAACCGTGATGATAAAGGTAAAAATATTTGGACCGATTGCATAACAACAACACAATATTTACTTCAAATCAATTTTTTTCATCACCCAATTGCCTTTTCATCAATGCATTAGAAAATTAAACCAAGTAGATGTACTTTTCAGCTATTCAGTTCAAAATGGGGAAATCATGTTTGTCTGGTCCGTATTTAGGATCACTTCATTTCGTTCTAAAAATGGATGTAGCGGATTAGTGTTAAATAAATTCCTTTCATTAAACGGCTAATAGGTTTCAATATTGATGTATCCTTCCATAGACCATCTAATCAATCTTAAAATCGCCTATTGGCAATCTAAACAAAAATCAAGCGATAAAGGCTCTTAAAAATACAACCTTAGAACGACCATCTATTCAACACACTGATAACACCTATATACCAACTCAACACCCTTTAAATCAAGTGTTCGACAGGCTAATATAGTATGAAGAATAAACATTTATATAATTTGTTAAGAATGCAAAGCATTTAAAAAGGCCTATTGTTCAAAGATTGAAGATCTTAAATAGCCCCCGCCCGCTAAAGCAAATATGGGACCCCGACATTTGGACTGTTTTCATGGAGATGAGAAATTTTTACATTCCTTGTTCGTAATTGTGGTCGGAGCCGGAATTTCTGTATTGAACTATAGAGAGTGTCTGTATGTAATATTAGGATTACTCTCAGATTAGGATTAAACCTGAGTCATAGGGTACCCCGAGCACGTACCGCCTGTTGTTGAGACAGGTGTTTTATTAACCGTTTCCTTCACCTGTTGTCAAGTGACCTATAAAGCGATATTTACCCTCCCACTACCCCTCCTATGCATTGCAAACTTCTAATACTGACCCAATTTTTTTGCAATACTTTTGCAACCAAGAATTTCAGAGAAAAAATTATAAGTTCAATACGCATCCTCCAAATTTTTCTGTCCTTTACATCATGTAACTGATGGAGAGGAAGAAATTATACACTGAAGTTGACACGTACGTCCTGGAGTCGACATCGGACGAAAACATGGTTATAAAGTATCATGCAACAGATTGACAACTTTCACGACGTAAGAGAAACCAATCAGATTCAATTATACAATATCTCCAGTAATCGATGATGAGCAAACATAACTTCAGTCGTCACAACATAGGAATTTCAGTGATGTAATCTCATCCAAAGGATGCAACGCAGATAAATCTGTGCACATTTAGCTGTTTTATTCCTTCGTCAGGCTAACAGAAAACTCTCCAGGAATCCTATGTCTTATGGTTCATTTGATGAGAGATAATAAAGGAATTTCCTCATTTTGTTCAGATTCGTACGTTATACGATATGACCTTAGAAAAGTGGTTTGCCAAAATATATGTACCTTATATGTTTTAAACATCAGATGACACGGATAATAAACATACTGACAATATAACGTTTTAAAAATAGGATATCCAGCTTTGGTACATTTCAATCACAGAGAAACATGCACAGAATAGTTTGAATTTTAAAATAAGATAAGATAAACTTACATTTTGCGGTGATCCACATTTATTGCATCCTTCCTGGCGCTCTTGTTCTTCTTTAATTTTCCCAATAATAAAATCACTGAAGTCAAAATGTGACTTCTGTTGTCGGCTGCTGGTTTTAACAAAGTTTACACTACTTAGAATCATCTTGTCGTCTGATATCGACCTCGTGCGGTCTCGTCTGTTTCATTGAATGAAAGAACCCACGCCGATTGCAGTATATGACTTCGCACTAAAAATAATCCACCAATCGCGTTATAGCAGAGTCAATACATGGGAAACTACCGGGTCACGTGGCCTCGAGGTTACGTTCATTGCATATTTGTAGTAAGATGTGGTTTTTAAACGTATCAGTCCCGATTAAAAAGATTTAGCGTGTCTACAGCAAGTAATCGGCGGAAATTGTCTAACAGGACAACCGATATGACGCTGGAGTAGGGATTATCTGAAGGGTGACCGCGTGCTGGACTTCAATGAATAAAAAACATACACTTCTTAAAAGGTGAACTTGAAGGATTGAGTGACTCTTTAATAACATGTATAGATAAACAACATTTTAACTGTTTCGAGTGATGGTCATTGTCTCTGCCGTGTTTCCCGTACTTATTTAATTTGTTATATCAGTGATATTTTTTTTTGGAATGAGTATGACTCAAATAATGGAGAAAAAACATTTTTCTCATGCATTTAATTGAAATGAAGAAAATGGTTATGATATATTTTTAGGGGAGAAAAATCATATTTTGAAGAGACAAAATACAAATTCAAATGTGAATTTTTAGGCATCAAGGTAATCACGAAAGAAAGGGATATATTCACATCACAAGCACCTGACGTTACTTATGTTTTCTTTTAATAAAAAAAATATATACCTCTATCTAAAGTTAGGTAGGGGTATATTTTTTTTATTAAAAGAAAAATAAGTAACGTCAGGTGCCTGTGATTCACATCTGAATAGTGTTGAAAATATTCTACCCCTCTAGATCCTTTTCTCTTTTAGATGTTTAATGGAAGGTGATTTTTGAAGCTTTTATCAAGATAAAGAAAAATAAAAAATGAATCAAATTAGTTTGGATGAATCTAGCTATAGCAAGAATAAATAATAAAAAGACTAACTTAACTTATGCCCTGAGTGACACAGCCTCAAGACATTCCGTTATGTATTATGTAAAAAATCGATTTGTTGTAAAAAAAAAAAAATTCTTTGTTAAACCATTTACATAATGTGAGAACTTCGCTGTTTCACCCACCACAATTTCCTATATTTGTGTGTTATAACCAGGAGGGCAGGCCGGGCCCGCTTAAATGACTGTTTAACCAGTGCTTTTCACTTACACTTGCTTCATTTGAAAATTTTATCCCTTTAAAATAAATAGATTAAAAATGACATATGGGCTATTGGCAAACCTTAAAAAAATAATCATAAAAAAGAAATTTTTGTATAAAATGGTGGTCCGATAAGGACTGTTACCAACATGACCTTCTTAAAAATTAACATTTACACGTGCTATACTGTTACACATGAGTAAACCTGTGGCGACGTTTTTTTTAATTAGAAGATTAAGTTTAAATACTAAGTATTCTAGAAAATCCTTTCACAGGTTCGGTTAAGGGCCAACGGGTAAATATTAACGATTATCAATAAATAATACTTTAAGTGTAGTCTCAAAATAAAGAATATTTTAAATGTGGTTTCATACTCTTATGAATATGAAAGGGAGTAAAAATTATATGAATGAACTGCTGGGATATTAAATGTTCAATAGAGAGGATTGGTGCTTTGCATTCCGATGAAATATCACGACAATGCAATATAATATGCACTTGCGGAAGTAGAATGGAAGACCTTTATTGAAATAAGTTAATTATAATCGTAAGTCTCTTCATTCGATTGCCAGTCTGTAATTTTAATAAAAGGTGCGAGTAAAAGACGAGATCACCCGTAGGTATCCGACGATGCAAAAACCTGAGAGACGTAGGTTCTATTTTGAAGGACAGGGAACAAAACATTTTGTTGTGACGCAAATACTGTGAAGTTTTGAGAGGTCCATGTGCCGATCTTTTATCAAAAAAATCATGCACATTTATCACTATTCTCCGTAGCTCGGTAAATAAAGCTCACCATTTTCTTGACCCACTGTATTATAATTATATGGATGTACGTTTTATATGTTTAGGTACATCATGTACCATTAAACATTTACTTGGTTTTTAGAAAATAAAGTCTTTATTTGAATCTATAGGAAAGAAATCAGCCTCATAACCTTCTAATTTTCATATCCAGGTACAATTTATATGGATATTATAATAAGTAATAATCCTTGATACTATTGTAGTAAATAAAGGAAATGTAAGTACAGTGTTCAAATTTTAAATTCTTGGCGTGTTTTTGCATCGATTGTTCAGATGGCCGACTTCTGATGTGATCTAACAGGTAAAATGACATACCGACACACCAGCATTATCTTATGTATTGTAGCCTGCAGTCGCTCCTGTAATCCAAATACTGATCTACTCAGATAAACATTTTAAAAGTTAGCAGTCAACCTTAGTGGTGTGAACGATCATCACTCAGAAACCACAGGATTCTGAAATTTTATAAACTGGTGACCTTCTTCAATTGCAAATTATATAGTGCTTTCTGGTATATTTTTAATTTTTTATTTACATGTAAGCAATTTCGTACAGAAATTTATACAGAAAGGTTTGGTTCCTGTGACATATAATTGATAGCTTTTATTCGCCGTGTAATTATATTATATTAATAATTAAACCCATGTCGATCTGATATTAAGTGAAAACTATCCTGCAAGAGTTCAGTGAGAGGATTGGCCCTTGAAACTTTTTCTGCATTCCTATTTCCCCCTGGTTGCAAAGAATGGTATTTCTCGCGTGAGTAACTTTTAACAATTTAAACAAGTTCTTTTTAGGTCTATAAGAAGCATACATGCATTAGATTTTTAAAATTGTAATCCTTTTGTTAAAGGAATGCATTCAGTTGAACATTAATTTTGGAACACTTGTTCATTCAAGTCAGGAAATTAGAAAACATTATATACTTTCGCGGCCTTTTGCCTGTCCATTGGAATAAATTTACATATATTTCTGAAAAATGGTTGACAAAGTAATTAAAATTTCAGGTGAAATGTAACAACGAAAAATTAGAAAAAAATTAATTTGAGTAATAGCAGGTATTTAAAATATTCGGAATAATTAACTTAGATTAAAATTTGAAATACACGTACAACTTTAAAACACATACAGAGAGCGTTTGTGTACAGTAGGTGCGAATTAAAAGGCAAAGGCTCGAAGAAAGCAATTTTAGATGACCGAGGAGGGGGTTGTGACTATTTTCATATATTATACTATACATACTATAATATACTTTATACAGGGGAAAATTATTACCCCTCAACCCCCCGACCACAGTGTGATTCATACGGCCATGAGTCGGATATCTTAACGGTAAAAATATATATTCTATATGAGACCTTGGTTTACGTTGTAAATATTAATATTTTCAGACATGTCTGTTAATGTTATAATTTTTTTTCCTCAAAGTGACATTTTAATCATAAAATGTGATACTCATCAGAGCAACCGATTGATCGATATTTTAGAGAAACAAACAGGATATGGAATTTCCCGGAGATGGAAATAACGACATTCACCGATAAATTATACAGATCGTATCAAAAACAAGCCAATATCTACAACTACATCACTTTCTTAATATACTTCATATCTGTCTATCTTTAGGAAGTGCATGATTGGATGTTTTTAAAACAGAATACACTTAAACATATATTTTTTTTCATTTCAGTGCGCATCATTTTTGCTATAAAATTGATGTTTTGGCTATAAACACTTGTTATACAAAGACATAATCAATTGTTCGTTTACGACATGTTTGGTCCTCCTTGGATGAAACGCACAGTATAAATATATATATACGAGGGGAGTTCAATAAATAATGTCATTTGGGCTCGGAAAGAAACAAAAAAAAACGCTTTTCTTTGACTTAGTCTTAATGATTTAACTAAAATATTCTCTTATAATTAAAATACATATATCCGTAACATTTTCATTCAATTTCTAATTGTTTTTTGTACACATTTTTGAGTATGACCCTTCGTATACTGGAATATGGCAGATCCTATGATTTGCTGTACTTGTTTTTTCTTTCTGACAGATGTTTTTCTAAGTTTGGCAAATGAAACAAGTCAAAGTTGAAAGATCTGGCAAATTTTGTTGGTGTGACAAAACATTATCTTTCTGTTTATCCCCAGACTCCTTTACTCTTCATGGCGTGTGGGTTTGGACGCTGTCATGAAGAAATTTAATGTAGTGAATTCCTCATTCTGTTTCCTTCCTCTCATAAACCTTTCATTTTTTTGCAAAAAAATTGTTTTCTAGACTCCTCCAGAATTTGAACTTCATACCCGAATTTGAATTTGAACAACAAGATCGCTAATATTTAAGAAAATAGCATATGAAACTGTTTTATGCTCTTGCAATTCTTTGCTCTTCTTAGGCCTTTGCAGTTTTGTCAAGTGCATCTTATCGTAAATTTGTTTTGAGGGTTTAAAGCAAAATGGATTAAAGTTTTATTATCTGTTATAATTTCAGACAAACGTGGATAAGTACAATTTTTGATTTTTTAAAATAATTGTTTGGATATTCCTACACGCTGTCGTTTTCACTCATTTTTCAAAATATAGGGTGACCTTTGAGTATTAAACTTTTTCACTACAAAATATTTCTTTAAAACAGTGTGAACTATCCCCAAAATGATTTTTATTAATTTTGCTATGTGTCTTAAAGTCGATAAAACATAATCATTGATAGTTTGTTGAAATTTCGCAAATTTACTTCGGTTGTTGTAAGTTATTGTTGCCAAGGACGGTACCCACTTTTGATGCCCATTACATAATTTTTGTTCATTGAAATCTACTTGTTAACCTGTCTATAAAACAGGCATTGATTGCTGTAAATTTCACATATTTCAGTTAATATATTTTTGGGATATTAACAAGTTTTACAGCTGCTTTGATGAAGCGCTTAATTTTACTCTAGTTTACTGATTCTTGACCATTCATTTTTAATGCAGTGTCTCGAATAGCCCTTATTTTCCAGCTTCCCACAATGCAATAATGCGATGAAAAGTGGTCACACAAACTGTTATCAATTCACTAAAGATTCAATAATGAGAGA